CAACGGTCCAACCCACTGAGCCACCCTGGTCAGAGCACTGAATCTGTGTTGGCCAGATTTTCCTTTTCAGTGGATATGTTCCAAGAAGCTCAGAGTACTCTGTCTCCTGGCTGATTTTTTCACTGCAGTTGTTGGGAGTTAAGTGGGACAATATTTGGGAAGGTGTCTGGTAAACTGTGATCTACAGTACCAACGTAAGATGGCGGCGGTACTAATTAGAAGTAAACTGAAGCAAAACGAAGAAATTGTTCATCTGTCCATTCCGAGGCCCACTTCATGCTGGCAACTTCGGAGTTTGCCAGATGGCTCTTTTATTCTCTGCCGTACAGAGCATGCCTTAGGCTCATTGGCGTTATGGGACTGTGGTGATTGTGGCAGCTCACTCAGCGGAGACACATACATTTTACATGGTTCAGAAATTATGCAGCCAGTGTCCTAGGACAAGTCCATTTGAAACCAAGGACTCTTCCTTCTCTCCGGCTGGCATGACACAAGCAGAGCACACTGTATCGGTGGCCTAGAATGAGGAAATGATCACTGGCAGTAGTGATTTGCTAGAGGACAACACTTTCAGGATGGTAACTCTTTGCTTTGCACTTACTGTGCACTGTGGAAGGAACAGGAAATGTGTACCTCATGATACCCGACCTCAAGGATCCTGGATTCAGTAGAGAGACTAAAAGACAGAACAGAAGCAGTAGTCAACAAGACCAATATGATTTAAATGCCCCACACCTAACTGCTTTAGGAGAGGTGTGTTAACTGGGTTTATTGTGTCCCCTTTATGGTAGAAGTGGACCTTCGGTTGGGGCTTGGAAGGGTCATGGGGATTTCAATGCCTAAAGGATAGTTACAGTGTGAGCCAAGAAGTGGATGTTATGTTTATGATACAATAAGGATCATATCTAAACGAAGGGGTTATTTTAGAGGAGTTGAAGATAATGTTGGAAAACTGTCAAGTGCAAAAAGCAAACAGCACCATTAATATGTAATGTGTCAGTTTTGTTCATGCCTGGTATACAGTAGTTGCTGAATATATGTTTTTAATTATTTTTAAAAACTTTACTTAGATATAATTAATATATAATAAGATGCACATATTTAAATATATAATTAGTATACAATAAGATGTACATATTTAAAACATACCATGCAGCCCTCAATGGTTTGGCTCAGTGGATAGAGTGTCCGCCTGCAGACTGAAGGGTCCCTGGTTCCATTCTCGTCAAGGGCACATGCCTGGGTTGCGGGCTCTATATCCAGTGGGAAGAGTGAGGAGCCATTCAGGAGGTAGCCAATCAATGATTCTTTCTCATCATTGATCTTTCTACCTTTCTCTCTTTTAAAAAGACATACCATGTAATACATATTTTAGCATTCAATATTTTTATTTTAAATATTTTTATTTAAATATTAAGTGCTGTTAAATATTTTAAAATATTAAAGAGTATTCAACTGTGTCTATGTTTTATTTCTTAAATAAACAAAAAAAGTCTAGCTGGCCTGGCTCAGTGGTTGAGCCTCGACCTATGAACCAGAAGGTTAAGGTTCAGTCCCAGGTCGGGAGCATATGCCCAGGCTCCATCCCCAGTATGGAGCTCAGAGGAGACAATTGATCAGTGATTCTCTCTCATCATTGATGTTTCCATCTCTCTTTCCCTTCCTCTCTGAAATCAATAAAAAAAAAATTTTTAAATAAACAGAAAAAAGTCAACATGTAAATTTTTCTGCATCTGAATGGTAGGGATGGGTGTTTATATATTTCTCTATTTTATGTATGTTTGTAAGGGAAGCAATTTTTAAAAGGGAAGCAATTAAATAGTTTTAGAAATGATGAGATTTGAAGGACATGTCATAGGAGAAAACATTAGTACACATTAAGTTCTGCTTTTCTGAATATATTTTTAATTTGTTTTCTGGTTCTTAAAACGTTTTACCAAAGTAACATATACACGATTTAAAGGGGTCCTGTGGCTCTAAGTGACTCTCTCTACCTTACCCTCTAGTCAGAAGCTGGAGTCTGAAATGACTACTGGGAATGCTGCTCAGGGTCCCGGCCTCACACCCTTCCTGCTCACTCCTCTGCCTTCAGAATTTCTTTCTCCTCTCTTCCTCTCAGTTTGGCCTCATGTTTCAGAATTGCTCACTGTTTTCTCATAAGCAGGCTAAGGAATGAAGTCGCTATCAGTTTACATTCAAGTCATAATGAAAACAATAGAGGTATTGAAAACAGTTTTCAAGATAGGCTCCAATTTTCTGGAGCAGACTCCCCTGTTCTACTCCAAGTCTTAGCAAAACATAGGCTCCCTGGGAGTGAGTGCTCCAGCCAAGCCGGCTGTGGGTATGGCCCAGCTCCAGCAGCAGGAGCAAACTGGAAAGCTGGAGTGGAAGTCAGGACCCGAGATCAATCAGACTCTCACTTTCTCTGATGAAAGGCTGCCCAGGACCCTGTTACCCAGCTTAACTTCACCTCCAGATCCTTCGGAGGCTGTTAAGGGGCCAGTAGATTATTCTAGTGCCCATTTTCTTTCTTGTTCTCATGGCTTTGGAATAGCTATGACTGACGTCTGTTTTCTATTTAAATATACTTAAAATTCCCTTGCCTCTATGTCACAGTGGTTAGAGAGCCAGCCCATGCACCGAAGGATCTTGGGTTCGATTCCCTGTCAAGGGCATGTGCTTGAGTTGCAGGTTTGATCCCCAGCCACAGTTGGGGTACATGTGGGAGGCAACAAATCTCTCTCTTTCTTCTTTTCTCCCTCTTCTTTGATTTTCCTCCCTCTTTCTCCCCGCTCCATCCCTCCCTTGCAGTCTCTGAAAATCAATGGAAAAAATATCCTCCAGCCGAAACCAGTTTGGCTCAATGGATAGAGTGTCGGCTTGGGGACTGAAGGGTCCCGGGTTCGATTCCAGTCAAGGGCATGTACCTTGGTTGCGGGCACATCCCCAGTAGGGGGTGTGCAAGAGGCAGCTGATCGATGACTCTCTCTCTCATCGATGTTTCTGACTATCTCTCTCCCTTCCTCTCTGTACAAAATCAATAAAATATATATTTTTTAAAAATTCTTTTAAAAAAAAATATCCTCCAGACAGGATTATTTAATAAATAAGTATACTTAAAACTTACTTAAAAAAAAAAAAAAATCCTGCCCCTAGACTGTTTGGCTCAGTGGACAAAGCGTTGACCTTCAGACCAAAGGGTCCTGGGTTCCATTCTGGTCAAGGGCACATACCTTGGTTGCACGTGCCTCCTTGGCCCAGGCTCTGGTCACGGCATGTGCAGAAGGCAAACCAATCCTTGTGTTTCTCTCACATCGATGTTTCTCTCTGTCTTTCCCTCTCTTCCACTCTCTCTACAAATCAATGGGAAAATATCCTCGGGTGAGGATTAACAAAAATAAAATAAAATAATCCTCACCCGAGGATATTTTCCATTGATTTTTTTTTTTTTTTTTTTTTTTTTTTTAGAAAGAGGAAAGGAGAGGGGGGAGAGAGAATCATCGATATGAAAGAGAAACATTGATTGGTTGCTTCCCATTCGCACCCAGACCAGGGATCCTGAGAAGGAATGACACAGGAACCTTTCAGTGTATGGGGCCACACTCTTTCTGACCACACCCGGCCGAGGCTTAAAACTTACATTTTTAAATAGCTGTGCTGGATTTGCCTTCTGTATACGTACTCTCTAGAGAGAATCTAAGAAACATATAATTTGATACCACCTATTTGGAGTTGAAATATTTTTAATGCTTTGTAGAAATCTAATCTGATTCTGTCTCCTTTTTTTGGGTAAAGTGTTTTGTTTTTGTTTTTTTGTTTTAAATCCGTAGTGTAGTCTCTTGGATCTTAATGTCATAAAAAGATCTGTCATGACCTAATAATAACATATTCTTAACTATATTGTTTTTCTTTTAAATATATTTTTATTAATTTCAAAGAGGAAGGGAGAGGGAAAGATATAGAGACATTAATGATGAGAGAGAATCATTGATCGGCCCTCCCACATGCCCCCTCCTGGGGATGGAGTACGCAACCCAGGCATGTGCTCTGACCAGGAATCGAACCCTGACCTCCTGGTTCATAAACACTCAACCACTGAGCCAGGCTGGCCAGGCTTAACTATATTGTTTTAAGCACATATAAATAGAAGTTTTAATTTAGTTTTTCCCTAATATGAACTTTTTAAAAGCATAGTCATGAATTGAAACTAACTTGTATAGGTTTATTAAAGCATTGCACGCCAGTATTTTTTTAAAGCTTATTTAATTTTAAAGCATCAAAAAGTCATTGATTTCTTTTTCTTTCTCTCCATGATCAGTTTGATTGTATAGGAGACATATGTACTACTATTTGTAATACTTTAAACAATAAAATAAAATAAAATAAAATAGATCAGGGGGGATTGTGGTATCTTTTTTGTTGTTGTTAAATCACCAGATATTCCAGATTAGATAATATAGATCTGATTTTCCCTGACTTGAATTTTGCAATAGGCAGGCAGTTCATAACTATTGTCTGTGTTTGACTTCACATAGCTCATTTGTATGCTACCACTTTATCTAAGGAAGAGATAAACGTGAATATAGAAGGGGGGGAAAAAGGTTACCCGTGAGCTAGGAAGGAGAGGACTATGTGGGAGGGGCAAGGATGAAAGTGGGCTGTCTCCGGAACAATATTTATATGGAGCCATTTAAATATCCTACACACTTAAGAAACATACTAACAGTTTGAATTGACTTATCAAGTACGTGGCAACACCATACAGGAATTGTTTTAAGACATTTAACACATAGTAATTTTACGGTGTATCCTAGTGAGAGCTTTGAGTTCAGGTCACTTGTTCTTAAGATCCTTTAAGTGTTAGTTTGGGACCCATAGTAACTTATGTGAGAGAATATGAATGCATGCAATTTAAAATGCTATGAATTAATTTATTTAAAACGCTAAACTCATAACTTTAACTTTTGTTTCCTTTTACCTTTACAGTAAGGTAGAAGAGAATGAAAGAAGTAGATAATCTTGAAAGTATAAAAGAATGGTAAGTTAATTCGGTCTATGAAGTTTCTGTGTTAGTAATGCCTTCGATAGTTTCTTTTCCTATTTTTACTGCATTTCACTGACTGTGATAGTAAGTGTTCATTATGATTATCTCAGTTAAATACCTAATAGTAGTATATTTTAAAGCAACTTTTTCTTTCTTTTTTTTTTTTTCTTTTTTTTTTTTTACCATCACTGTATTGAATGGATTTTAGTGAAGTCACTAGATCTTCTTGTTATTAATTAAAAAAACAAAAACATTGTTAGGACAATTGCCAAAAAGTATTTTTAAGAATTTAAGTGAATTAATAAGCATATTCTTTTTTGGTAGAAAAAAAATATTAAAGCCAAAACCTGTTTGGCTCAGTGGATAGAGCGTTGGCCTGAGGACTGAGGGATCCCAGGTTCAATTCCGGTCAGGGGCATGTACCTTGGTTGCGGGCACATCCCCAGTGGGGGGTGTGCAGGAGGCAGCTGATCGATGATTCTCTCTCATCGATGTTTCTGGCTCTCTATCCCTCTCCCTTTCTGTAAAAAAATCAATAAAATATATTTTTTAAAATGTTAAAATTTTCTCTTTGCATATTACGGCTGTCATATAAATGAGGAATTCCATTTATATGACTTCGTTAGCTTCTTGTGATAGAGTCACAATGGAAACATAATGGTTTTGGAGTCAGATAAACCTAGGTTTGAGAGTCCATCTCTTTCTTTAAAAAAAAAAAAAAGAATATATATATATATATATATATATATATATATATATATATATATATAATTGATTTTTTTTTTACAAAGAGGAAGGGAGAAGAAAAGAGTGTTAGAAATATCGATGAGAAAGAAACACCGATCAGCTGCCTCCTGCACACCTCCCACTGGGGATGTGCCCCCAACCAAGGTACATGCCCTTGACCGGAATCGAACCTGGGACCCTTGAGTCCGCAAGCCAACGCTCTATCCACTGAGCCAAACCGGTTAGGGCCATCTCTTTCTTACACTACTTCTCTGGCCTGTGAGTGACGTAGACAGATTATTTGAGCTTCAGTGTCTCATCTGTATAGCCCACGGACACAGACCATACTGTGATGAAGGCCTGGGGTGGGGTGAGGGCTGGGTGGAGGAGAACAAAGTGGGAGGAACAGGGGACATCTGTAATACTGTCAGCAATTAAAAAAATACATTTTTACAAAAATATATATGAACTGGGGTTCCACCTAGGTACCTGAAATATTTGGGGGAGAATTAGATAGACTCTATAAAGCACTTAGCTTGGTATTTGCAACCTAGAAGGCACTCAATAAACAGCAAATGCAAAATGTATGACTGTTAATATAGAATACTTCATTCTCACTTATGGAGGCAAATTATATCTTGTGTTATGCTCTTTGCTCTTTGTTTTAAATCCTTGAGGCACATTTCTTTCATTCGTAGTTCCTTTGAGACAGACAAGCATTTATTTCACACTTACACATATTTTGAACATGCTTCTGTACCAAACAAACATCTGTTATTTTTTTTTTTTGACGAGAGTGTTTATCGTTTTATTTATATTTAAGACTAACTGTATAATCTTAAGATTGTGTCAGGGAGGGATCTCTAAGCCCATCCCCAGGCTTATAGTCACACTATGATTTATTATAGCGGACGGGTAAAAAGCAAAATCAGCAAAGGGCAGAGAGCATGTGGGGCAAGGTCCAGGAGAAACCAGGCACCGGCTTCCAAGAGGCCTCACCTGGGACGTACTGTATTCTCCCAGGAATACGTCAGGACAGCCCGTGTGAAATGCTATCTACCGAGGAAGGTCACGGAAAGCGAGCCTCGGCATTTTATTGGGGGCCAGTCACTTACTCACATTTCAGACTCTCCGAAGGAAAGCAAGCAGGCCTTGTAGAGGCTAGCAGTGAGGCCCACGGGATTAACTCTTTCCTACACGGAAATAAAGTGAACGAATGACTTAAGAGACTAAAATTAGCTTGGGACTTTTTATTTCAATAGCTTTATGGAGACCTAATTCACATACCATGTAATTTATGCGCTTAGAGTATTCAATTCAGTGATTTTTACTCCATTCACAACATTGACTACATTAGCATTGTGAGAAATCATCTTAGGGTATGACTATTTTTTCTAATAAGAAGTATCATATCATTGCCTTGGGAAAGGCATAATTAAGACTTTATGATAATAGAGAGTGTCTTAAGAGTAGATACAGAACACTGGCTGGTTTGGCTAGGTGGATAGAGCGTTGGCCTGCGGACTGAAAAGCCCCAGGTTCTATTCCTGTCAAGGTCACATGACCGGGTTGCAGGCTCAATCCCCAGTAGGGGGTGTCCAGGAGGTGGTGGATCAATGATTTTCATCATTGATCTTTCTATCTCTCTCTCCCTTCCTCTCTTAAAAAAAAAAAATGTATTTTTTTTTTAAAAAAAGAGTAGATATAGAATTTCCTAGAAGAGTATAAAGAATGTATTTAAATTAAAATATTGCCTGGAGTGTCAGCAATTTGAGAGCAATATAATTATGGCTATTTTGAGAGACAGTCTAGCCTAGTGATTAAGAGTGCGGACATTGGTGACCTGGCTTCTGTTGCCAGCTTCACCTCCCAATAGCTTTGTGATCTTGGGCAAATTGCTTAAGCTGTTTCATTATCTATTCAGTTGGGGCCCTTTAGATCTTGTGAGAACTGAATGAGTTAACATGTGTAAAGTACTTAGAATGGTTCCTAACATCCCCCTATATAATAGAAGGCTGATATGCAAATTGTGCCCTCAATTGGGATTTCGACCAGCTAGCCGTCCGCCCACAGCCCCTCCCCTCGGCCCCCTCACCCCGATCAGGGGCAGGCTGGACGGAAACCCACCCTGCACTAATTCGTGGACCGGGCCTCTAGTGTATTAATAAATGCACAATAACTGTCCGTTATTAAGAGAGGCTTTATAGCACATCATGGTAGTAGCAGCATAGACTTGGAGGACATTAACATTCTGTTCACATTCTGTTTCTGCCGCTTACTAGTTGTGTAACCTCCAACATGAACGTTAACCTCTCTGTGACTCATTTTTCTTATCTACAAAATGTGGATAAAGGTGTATCTATAGTTCCTGGCACAGTCCAAGAGCTGTAAAAAGGGTTGATTACTTATTGAACCTGAGAAGATACATCTCAGAACATTATGAATCTAATATACGAATTCAAAAAAGATCTGTCAGGAATATTTTTTTCTGTCAAATAAATCTTAGTTAACATTTCATGTCTATATAATAAAAGCATAATATGCCAATTAGACTGGGAGACCTTCCGGACATCCTTCTGGACAAAGCCTTGGTGGTGGGGCCAAGATAGAGGCGCTTAGGAGGGATCAGGCCAGGAGGGGAGGGCAGCTGGGGATGATCAGGCCGGGGGGGGGGGGGGGGAGGGCAGTTGAGGGCGTGAGCAGGCTGGCAGTTAGGGGCGATTAGGAAGGCAGGTGAATGGTTAGGAGCCAGCGGTCCTGGATTGAGAGAGGGATGTCCCAGATTGGAGAGGGAACAGGCTGGGCTGAGGGACACCTCCCTTCCTCCCCGCCCCCCCAACCGCACAAATTTCATGTACCAGGCCACTAGTATAATATAAATATAGAATGAAATCCAGTATATGGAAGTGAGCAAAATGGGTGAAGGGGTTCAAAAGATGCATATTTCCAGGTATAAAATAACAGGTCATAGGGGTGTAATGTACTATAGTGACTGTAGTTGCTAATTAGTGACTATAGTTACTAATACTATATTGCATATGTGAACGTTGGTAAGCTAATGCCCAGCCTGGGTAGGTCAGTTGGTTAGAACATCATCCTGATGAAATTTATCCCCCAGCTCCCACCCCACAGATGTTTTTGGTTGCTGTAACACTTTGGAGGTGGAAACGTATGCATGCACCTGATATCTAATGGGTCAAGGCTGCTAAACATCCTAGAACACCTAGGACAGCCTGCACAACAAAGAATTACCTCTCCCCAAATGCCAATAGACTCAACTTGAGAAAACCCTGCTCCTCACCAAAAAGGGTTAGTGACTTCCCAAGGTCGCCTCCGTGTTAACTTAGAAGAGAGTCTAGACTGCGGACTTGGAAGTAGCATCTCAGGTCAGGAGCCCTTAATCAGAACCATTTATGTAAACTTTTAGAGAACCAGTAGTTACTAATGCTTACTTCTCTGCGTTGTGTATTATAGGGTTTGTGAAACAGGATCTGACAACCAGCCTCTTGGTGACAGTCGACAAGCAACTTGCGAGTACTTTGTCGACAGTCTCTTTGAGGAAGCCCAGAAGGTTGGTGCCAAATGCTTGTCTCCCACCGAACAGAAGAAACAGGTAAAGGCCTCTGGCTTTTTTTCTCCTTTTCTCCACATACGAACCTTTTAGGGGGTCCATGGGATCAAAACTGTGTAATAACAATAGTGAGATGTGCCGAAACCGGTTTGGCTCAGTGGATAGAGCGTCGGCCTGGGGACTGAAAGGTCCCGGGTTCGATTCCAGTCAAGGGCATGTGCCTTGGTTGCGGGCACATTCCCAGTGGGGGGTGTGCAAGAGGCAGCTGATCGATGTACCTCTCTGTCATCGATGTTTCTAACTATCTCTCTCCCTTCCTGTCTGTAAAAAATCAATAATAAATAAATAAATAAATAAATAAATAAATAATAAAAATAGTGAGATGTTATTTACCTGGTCATCGTGTTGATCTTGCCCTGATTCTGCAAAATCGATGGTGGATAGTAAAGCTGCTGACACCTTAGAAGGAATTGGGGTGGGGGGGCATGCATGGGGAGGGGTTTGGGATGGGGATGGGAGGGGTATGTGATATCTTAATCAATGAAGTAATTAAAAAAGAAGGAATTTTCAAAACCGGTTTGACTCAGTGGATAGAGCGTCGGCCTGTGGACTGAGGGTCCCGGCTTCGATTCTGGTCAAGGGCATGTACCTTGGTTGCGGGCACATCCCCAGTGGGGGATGTGCAGGAGGCAGCTGATCGATGTTTCTCTCTCATCAATGTTTCTAGTTCTGTATCCATCTCCCTTCCTCTCTGTAAAAAATCAATAAAGTATATAAATAAAAAATAAAAAAGAAGGAATCAAGGCAGTGGCTACAAACTGTACTAGTAATTATGGTCTTCTTTGCTTGCACTTGCAGAGGGGAAATGAACACTGGTGTCAATTAAGAATGTTCTTGAAGAAGTAGTAATAATAATAATTTTTATTAAATCCCAATCCTTCAGTGCACAACTTATTAATATTGTGTGACAAAATGCGAAGTACAGCCGAGACCCGTTTGGCTCAATGGATAGAGCGTTGGCTTGGGGACTGAAAGGTCCTGGGTTCGATTCCGGTCGAGGGCATGTACCTTGGTTGTGGGCAAACCCCAGTAGGGGGTGTGCAAGAGGCAGCTGATCAATGACTCTCTCTCATCGATGTTTCTAACTCTCTATCTCTCCCTCCTCTCTGTACAAAATCAATAAAAATATATTTTTAAAAAAATGCGAAGTACATACAAGGCATTTTACAATATACTGAAGTATCATTTTTTTTAATTAACATGATGCATTTTGTTTCTTCCTGCTTTGCAGGTAGATATAAATATAAAATTATGGAAAAATGGATTCACGGTCAATGATGATTTCAGAAGTTATTCAGACAGTGCAAGTCAGCAGTTTCTGAATTCCATCAAAAAAGGGTAAGCAATCTTTGACAAGAGAAGGGTAGTTTAGGCATGTTTCATTTGGAAGGATGTTTTTAATGGCTGTTTACACATCCCTCCACATTCACAGGTACTTTTAGGAATCCATACTTTCATAGGATGGGTTTTTTTAAGAGAGACACAGCTATAATTTTGAAAAAGGGGTAGGAGTTTTGAATTTTGATAAGTCAGAATCTGATTTAAACTAACTCACGTTGCCAAGAATTACCTAATACCCCATCCTAGTTGTTACATTTAATATTCATGTTTAAATACCTTTATAGTCTCTGAATTGTGGTTTCCATTGCATAGGTAATCCCATTTAGTTTATCCAGTTTTCGGTGGATAAACATTTGGGTCATTTCCACATTTTGGCCATTGCAAATAATGCTACTATGAACATTCCTGTAGCATTTTTTGTAGCAAGTTTTTGTGTGGACATATGTTTTCAATTCTCTCAGGTCTAGGAGCAGAACTGTTTTCTAACTCTATGTTTAACTTTATGAAGAACTACAAAACAGTATTCCAAAGTGACTGCACCATTTCACATTCCCACCAACAGTGTATGAGAGTTCCAGTTTTTCATAGACTTGTGAACATTTGTTAGTATCAGTTTTTTTCATCACTGTTATCCTAATGGGTATGAAGTGGTATCTTACTATGTTTTTGATTTGCATTTCTCTAATGACCAGTGATGCTGTGCATTTTATCATGTATGTATTAACCATGTGTATATCTCCTTTCAACAAAATGTCTGTTCAAATTCTTTGTCCATTTTTCTCTTTGCCTGTTTTTTAAATTGGTTTACTTGCATTTTGTTGAGTTGTGAGAGTGCTTTATATATTCTCTACAAGTCCGAATGACATGTATATCTGTATGCTAACATGAGAAGAGTTCTGTAGTATATTGCTTTAAAAAGGCAGTTTGTAGCCCTGACCAGTTAGGCTCAATGGATAGAGCATTGGCCTGTAGACTGAAGGGTCCCAGGTTCAGTTCTGGTCAAGGGCACATGCCTGGGTTAAGGGCTGGATCCCCAATAGGGGGCGTGCAGGAGGCAGCTGACCAGTGATTCTCTCTCATCATTGATGTTTCTACCTCTCTCTTCTTCTCCCTTCCTTTCTGAAATTTAAAAAAAAAAAAAATCTGACACGTTTTATATTTTATTTGTCATCCCCAGAATAAATCTATATTTTAATGTAAAATTTAAAGTGATAGCTGAAGCTGATTTGGCTCAGTGGTAGAGCGTCAGTCTGCAGACTGAAAGGTCCCAGGTTCGATTCCGGTCAAGGGCATGTACCTTGGTTGCGGGCACATTCCCGGTAAGCGGTGTGCAAGAGGCAGCTGGTCGATGTTATTCTCTCATCGACGTTTCTAGCTCTCTCTCCCTTCCTCTCTGTAAAAAATCAATAAAATGTATTTTAAAAATAAAATAAAATAAAATTTGAAGTGATAGCTTGATTTTTCTAGTATATTTTTAGCCCTATTCAGACACCTATAAAAATTATCAAAGTGCTTAAATTTATCAGCCTATGGTCATCAAATACCTCATGACTTTAGTACCATTCTAGGTTCTCCTGAATGACTCAAGCTGTTCATGAATTTGTATGCTAAACAATAATTCAGTAGTAATATTCTTGTTTTTTAGTATTTGCACTATTTAACTTATTTTAACTGCATTCAATTTTTTATTGTGAAGATGATGTGTCTCTTATTTTTATACTAGAGGCCCAGTGCACGAAATTTGTGCACAGGAAGAGTCCCTGCCTATGACAAGGGCCAATCTGTTGGGTGACCAGTGATGCTATGAGGGGAAAGGGGGAGGGAGGGAGAATGCCTCCCGCTGGCACCTGCCTTGGCTGGCCTGGGCCTGCAGGCTGGAGACAGCTCCTGTGTTGATCATCTGCCCTGCAATGGTCAGTGCACATCATAGCTACTGGTCATCTGCCCCCTGGTGGTCAGTGCATGTCATAGCAAGTTGCTGACCGTCCTTAGCATATCATTTGCATATTACGCTTGGATTGGTTGAAAGGATGGCTGGATGACCAGACGCTTTGCATATTAGGATTTTATTATATAAAGGATATTTTTCAGTTTCTTTTGCATGTAGAGTATGTTTTTCAGGGAAAAAAATATGCACATGGTGAATGCAGGCCCTTTGTTTCTTTCCCTTCCCAGGGAATTGCCTTTGGAATTACAGGGGACGTTTGATAAGGAGGAGGTGGATGTTAAAGTTGAAGATAAGAAACATGAAGTATGTGTGGCAACGAAGCCTGTGTTCCTGCCCTTCTCAGGACCGGGTCACCGACTGGGAAGGTGAGTGGGCTCATGATCTGTGCTTGTCATAGCAGAGGCTGGACTAACATTCAGCCCATCATTATTTTACCAGGGAGGCCACAGATATGGCGCTTATCATTTCCCCTATTGCAAATGGAATTTTTTTATTAATCCTCACCGAGGACATGCAGAGAGAGAGCGCGAAAGAGAGAGGGAGAGTAAGTGGAACATCAGTGTGAGAAAGAAACATTGATCAGTTACCAATTGGGGATCAGACCCACAACCCAGGTACCGGTATATGCCCTGAATGGAAATTGAACTAGCAACCTTTCGGTGCACTGGACGATGCTCAACCAACTGAGCCACTTCAGCTAGTGCGAATGAAACTTATTATGTTAGCTTTTGTGAGGACTCCTCTAAGTCATATTTACCTTAGTATGAATTAGCATATGCTGGCACTACAGTAAAAAAAAATCTTGGAGGCTTGTTTGGTTTCATCAAATCAAAGGGCATGGCTTATTGAGGACATTAGGCAAAATTGGATGGATGAGTCGTTTCTTTTCTCCCTTACACCCACCATTGAGCTTTGCCGTTGAAGTTAGCGTGCATCTGCTAGCTTTTGAATATAAGGTTCCGTTTTACACATACCACTGCTTTCAACATTGTACTGTAATCAATATCTGAATTTCGAGGTAATAAAAATGAAAAATGTCTGATAAAGTTAGCAGTATTAAAACCTTTATTTATTTTCGTTGTTAATGAAAATAAGCTTTATGTCTTAGTTTGGCTCAGTGGCTAGAGCGTCTACCTTGGACTGAAGGGTCCCAGGTTCAATTCCGGTCAAGGACATATGCCCAGTAGGGGGCATGAAGCAGGCAGCCTATCAATGATTCTTTCTCATCATTGATGTTTCTCTCTCTCTCTCTCCCTCTCCCTTCCAACTGAAATCAATAAAAATATATTTTAAAAAATTTAAAAAAGAAAATAAGCTTCTTTACATCAAGTAATAAATATATAAAAAGATGCAGTGGCAGTCATTTCCTTTCAGATGTCGGTAGTATCAAAACCTTTAATTACGCCCAGTTGGTGTAGCTCAGTGGTTGAGTGTCAACCCATGAACCAGAAGCTCAGGGTTCGATGCCCGCTCAGAGCACATGCGCGGATTGCGGGCTCAGTCCCCAGTGGAGGCATGCAAGAGGCAGCCAATCAGTGATTCCCTCTCCTTATTAATGTTTCTAACTTTCTCTCTCCTTTCTTCTCTCTGAAATAAAAAACACACATACCTTTCATTATTTTCAGATTTTGAAGTTGTTTTTTTTTTTGTTTTATCCTCACCCGAGGATATTCCCCATTGATTTTTTAGGGAGAGTGGAAGAGAGAGGGAAAGTCAGAGAAACATCAGTGTGTTTAGAGAAACACATCAATTGGTTGCCTCCTGCACGGACCCCAACTAGGGTCTGGGCTGGGGAGGAGCCTGCAACCAAGGTATGTGCCCTTGACTGGAATCGAACCCAGGATCCTTTGGTCCACAGGCCAACACTCTATCCACTGAGCAAAACCGACTAGGGCTGCAGTCTTCTGTATATCTATGCCTTATAGCAGAATGTGCAAAGAGGTTAGATGTGGGATCACTTTTATTTTTATGAATTCTCATATGTTAATTTTCAAGATTGGTAAAGTGTATGCACATTCATGCACACATATAAATATATCCACATGTGATTTTCAAAATGCTGAAAATAATCTGTATACCATTGGATCTACTTTTTAAGAGAATAACAGTGTGCATTTGGTGGAAATGAATGACATGTATATCTGTGTGCTAACATGCATCTGATTTTATTGTCTGGATTTTTTTAGTGCCACACCAAAAATTATTTCAAAAACAAAAAGTATTGAAGTTGAGAAGAAAAATAATTTGTCTACTGTCCCACTAAACAACCTGGAACCCATCACTAATATACAGATCTGGTTAGCCAGTGGGAAAAGGATTGTTCAGAAATTTAACATGTCTCATAGGTGAGTCTTTCACTTCATTATTTGGCTGATTTGTTTCTAATTTTAATTTTTATTTCTTCTTCTATTAACTTCAATCAAGAATTGCATTTCTTTATTATCTTAATGTGATTATAGAGATCACAGTATACATTTGTTTTTTGTTTTGTTTTTTAATCCTCACCCCAGGATGCTTTCCCATTGATTTTTAGAGAGAGTGGAAGAAAGAGGGAAAGACAGAGAGAAACATTGATGTGGAAAGAAACACATTGATTGGTTGCCTCCTACACAAGCCCCAACCAGGGAGGAGCCTCCAGTCGAGATATATGTTCTTGACAGAAATGGAACCCGCAGGCCAATGCTCTATCCACTGAGCAACACTGGGCCATAACTATAACTATATTTGTTATTTTTATTGCAGTTTCTTTAATCTTTAAACACACACACACACACACACACACATATATATATATATGTTTATTGATTTCAGAGAAGAAGGGAGTGGGAGAGAGAGATAAAAACATCAATGATGAGAGAGAAGCATTGATTGGCTGCCTCCTGCATGCCCCTTACTTGGGATTGAGCCTGCAACCTGGGCATGTGCCCTTAACCAAAATCGAACCTGGGACTCTTCATTCTGCAGACCAACTAAGCCTAACTGGCTAGAACGAGTTCCTTTAATCTTTACTGTTTTTCTTACTTTTTATATTTGTATTGTTCACCATAAGCTTTAGCCATTAGTTACCTAATATTTGGTATCCAAAGAAATATACAGGACCACATCTAGACTTTTTCATAACCTGCACAGGTTTAATAGAGTGGCATTTTTGAATTTTAGTGGATTGGGAGAATTTTGTCTTTCATGATATGCCATATTTCATTAAGTCTGAGTTGCACTTTTTTTTACATTTAGCACCTCTGAAATGGGGGTGCAGCCATTGTTGGCCACAGGGCAATCATGTCCCAATTGTCTTTGACTTAGTGTCTGCCTCAGAGCATGCAAAGCAAGTACCAGATGAGCAAAAACATCCCAGAGACAGTAGCAGAACACTTCTTAAATTCTGTATCAACAACACACCTGGTGACTCCGAAGATGGGTATTATGTGGAAAAATATTCCCGGGTCCAAGTGTGACTAGTGTTCACTAAGAATGACTCAGCCATTTCATTGTGCTTGTATAAATGAAGCCCATGGGTGACGTGACAAATGTTTGTATGAAATTAAGTTAAAAGTGCTCTTACAATAAATATTAAAAAGAATTCTAAACGTTAAGAAAACACTTTGTATCCGAAACCGGTTTGGCTTAGTGGTAGAGCATAGGTCTGCAGACTGAAAGGTCCCAGGTTCGATTCCGGTCAGGGGCATGTACATTGGTTGCGGGCACATCCCCGGTGGGGGGTGTGCAGGAGGCAGCTGGTCGATATTTCTCTCTCATTGACATTTCTAGCTCTCTATCTCTCTCCCTTCCTCTCTGTAAAAAATCAATAAATTTTTTTTTTTTTAAAAAAAGAAAGAAAGAAAACAATCTGGATTTTATTTTTTTATTTTTTATTTTTAGTAACACATACAATGATGTGTCTTAAAATCAATGGCATCTTAGTTTTGATGAACTGCACATGTGCTCTCCCTCTCTAAATACACATACGTACGTAGGTGAACATAACTCAGCTGCCTTCGAGATGGCAATGATTATTTTACTTTATGTGCATTATTCTGACGTCGATTCTCCCTGCACTGAGTGAAGGATTTTCCTCATTGGTTTTGAAGCACAGCATGACCTGCTCTTTAAGAGAAACCTATGTCTGTCTGTCTGACCCATTCAGAGCTAGGTGTGCGGATATGTAAACGTTCTATGATAGAAACTTAGAGATATACATAACAGCAGAGAGGACACAGGACCTACCGCTTAGTTTCCACTGAACTATTTCTAAGCAAATCCCAGACTTCATATAGTTTCATATGTAAATACTTCAGTCTGTGTCTCTAATAGATAAGTACTCTCCAAAAATGTAACCATAGTAAAAAAAAAAAAAAAAAAGGAAACCATAATACCCTCGCCATATCTAACATGATGAATAGCAGTTTCCTACTGTCATCTCTAAACGATCGCCCCAAGGAACAGCTCCATCATCATCATTTGAGTGTCCTATGTATTCACACAGCCAGGTAGCTTCACCAGTGACTACTTTTATTTATTTTATTTATTTATTTTTAAATAGAGAGGAAGAGAGATGGATACAGAGCTAGAAACATCAATGAGAGAGAAACATTGATCAGCTGCCTCTTGCACACCCCCTACTGGGGATGTGCCCGCAACCAAGGTATGTGCCCTTGACCGGAATCGAACCCGGGACCTTTCAGTCCGCAGGCTGATGTTCTATCCACTGAGCCAAACTGGTTTCGGCACCAGTGACTACTTTTAAATGGGCTCGTTCGCATTTCCATAAAATTGCACTAATCGTCGGTGCCATTTTGCAGGATAAGCCACGTCAAAGACTTCATCGAAAAGTACCAAGGCTCTCACAGAAGCCCCCCCTTTTCCCTGGCCACGGCGCGCCCCTACCTCAGGCTGCTGGACGAAGCGCTCACGCTGGAAGAAGCGGACTTACAGAACGCCGTCGTCATCCAGAGACTCCACAAAACCACGGACCCCTTCAGAGGACTCTCATGACATTGACCTTTGACACACCAAGTGGAAAGTTTGCAGGGAAGCGATGGTTTGTAAGTGAGCACGCAGGCCGAAATGGGGGGGACGTCAGGCTCCCTGAGCTTTTGGCTCGAGACCTATTGAACTCCCTTCAGGTGGGAAGACAAGTATGTACAAGTCAGGAGAGGAAGCTGTGACAAAATGATATTCAGTGCCCTGTCTCCCAAAGGCTACTCAGAAACATGTACTTCTTTTCAAATACCAGTTACTCAACGTAAGATATATTAAAGGACTATCTCATTCAGTGTCTTAATGTGGTATAAATTAGCAAATATATTCACAGCACCACTCAATTAAACATCATTCCCAAAGAGCAGTGATTTATTAAAAGGTTAGCTTGGCTCAGAATTTTTAAATAGCAATACATTAAAAATCGTACACGGCGGGTTAAAAGCATCAGTGTCCTTATTTCACACCTGAGATACAATCAAAATGCTAGAAGGAGCTGCTTCCGCCACAGCTATGCCTAAACCTCGAAGTGTTCTCAGTCTGCATCCTCTTAAGGCAACAGACACTCCGATATTAACTCGGCAATAGTATCTGGTCAGTTCACGTAAAAATTCTGTAGCTTAGTCTAATGTCAGGATTAATCTGTCTATTCACATTTCTACATTGTTGAGAAGTATAACTTTCTAAATATATTTTTATTGATTTCAGAGAGGAAAAGAGAGTGAGAAACATCAAGGATGAGAGGGAATCATTGATTGGCTGCCTCCTGCAGGCCCCCTATTGGGGATCAAGCCCGCCACCTGGGCATGTACCCTGACCAGGAATCGAACTGTGACCTCTTGGTTCACAGGTCGATGCTCAATCACTAAGCCAGGCCGGCCAGGCGAGAAGTATAATTTTTTTAAAAAACTGTTCTCTCCAGGAACCTCAGTTCACTCCCTATTTCATTTCCTTTAAAAAATTAGGGACTTGCCAAGACCAGTTTGGCTCAGTGGATAGAGCGCCAGCCTGCGGACTGAAGGATCCCGGGTTCGATTCTGATCAAGGGTATGTGCCTTGGTTGCGGGCACATCCCTAGTTGGGGGTGTGCAAGAGGCAGCTGATCGATGATTCTCTCTCATCGATGTTTCTAACTCTCTCTCTCTCCCTTCCTCTCTGTAAAAAATCAATAAAATATATTTTTTAAAATTAGGGACTTATTCTTAGCTAACAATTCTCAGTGTGTCGTTCATTTGAGGCTGCTCACTTAGAATCCAATGTTGTGTTGACATGTAGCTAATGAATATTTTTTTAAATGCCTTACGTCATGTGTGATTTTCTGTTCCATACGTTAGAGTCAACCTGTGTATACATTCAGGGGTTATTTATTACATTCTGATGTCACCAAGGAAGACTTGCTTTGTTTCTTAGACTTGAAAACCAGCCAGACTTCAATAGTCACTGTCCGATTGCATCCCTTGCCCAAAAATGGGTTTGGGAAGCCTTTTTGCTGATGATCTGTTGAATCACATTTAAAGTGAAATACACCAGTTCACCGAGTGTGCCAAGGAACTGAGCAGCCATGCCCGTCGGCAGTCATGTTCACAGGACATGGGGCGTCTGCGGGAAGGAGCAGGTCTTAGACAGTTTGGCCTCAAGACCTTCTGTTTATGTGGGCTATAAATATGTTAAAAATGAAAAGTTACCCATATTTATCCATTTAAAAATAATAAACACGTAGCTATAAACACTTCTACGAAAAAAATCTCTACTTTCCAAAACATTCAAAGCTAAGGTTTCGTGAGAAAAGTGGCACTGCATCCCATTTTTTGCAGATGTCTCTCCCGCCCGCCTTAAAGAGACAGATGGCGCCTCATGTCTGCTTCCACGTGCAATCTGCTGTGATATCACACAGCATGTGGCCTCCGGTACACGCTGCCACACGTTCATGAGAAAATGAACAAAACAAACAACGTCTCGGTACGATCGTGACAATAGTTCTGACCTTGTGGACCCCGGAAAGCCGTTCTTAGAAAGCAGTGATTTGCCGAGATTCCCAGGCCTTAGTGTAAGAATCCCTTGGGAAGCTTTTCAAAAGGCCTGTTCCGGCCCCTTACCACGCACATTCTGACTCCTCGGATCTTGGGGGTGAGTCCCAGATCTCTGCATTTTTTTTTTATCTCATTTGATTCTTGGATATGTGATGGCAGGAAATCCTGCGCCCAAGTGTCCCCCTAAGAAAATAAAGCCTCATGGGCACTGAGGACAGTGAATGGGAGCCGGGGGGGGGGGGGGGTCCTCTCAGTTTTATCTTTGTCCCCCAGCGTTTTGTTCTTAGACTGTTCCCCTTTAACTCTGAACTAACCACGCCATAAACCTAAACGTTGTCTTCTATGAGCACCGCCGAGATGCGGCTGGAACCTTTAAAGGGGTTTTTATCAAAGGCTCAGGAATAACAAAAAGGAAGGTCCCCTTAGAACTGGATGGCCTGTTTTGTATCTTCTGTCGGAGGGACATTTGAAGAATGCTTTCTTTTCCCAGCCTCTCCCTGCCAGAGACCTGTCCTTTTACTAGGAAGGGAGGGACAAGGAAAATCTCTCCTTGTTATTTGCTTTCAGATACGAGCAGGTATGTAATAGAAAAATAAATATTGTCAGTAATGTTTACAGCTGTGGTAGAGCCCTCTAGTGACACAATGGCATTCTTTACAATTCTTTACAACAGCGAGGGGACAGAAACATCAGTGAACTTCTCTTTCGGATATAATATAACGTAAGGTGGTTATTAACATATTTTCAAGAATAGGTAAAAAATAAAAATGTTTCCTACAGGCCTATCATCTTACAATTTTTACTTGCATGATTCTAGCCCTTATGTGATTCTCCATAGATTTCTATACAGGGCCTCTTGAAAGTATTGGTCTTGTGCCAATAGAAAGCCTCCCTGATGGATGCTCCCATGTATAATTCTTTAGCCAGGAGACACCCAGGGGGTTTCTTGTGTGTCCATGTAGAATACATCCCAGTGGGAAGTTTCTGTAGGGAAAGACCCATCACCAGCAGTAACCTTCATTTTTGTAACTTGGAAAAACGTTCACTGACGTGGATAATATTCTCGGACGTTTTCTAAAATGAGAATCATCTGATAAAGCTTTTTTACCTGAAAGTTTCACATCCTAAAGTTGTTCATTAAATGTGTAGAATATTCAAAACATGTTGATTTTAGAAAACATAAGCTGGATTTGTCAAGGGAAGGCACCCTGGCGATGAAGCATATTAGGTGTGGAGTATAACTTGACCTAAGGTCATTTCAAAACTATTGTCAGTTTCATGAAAATCATTGTTAGAGTTAGTCAATAGAAGTACATTTCTAATTTTGCAGGTTCTGATTTATTGGTTAAATTAACTAATGCATTTTCTAGGTTATAACGGTGATCTTATATACTTCTTCAGAACGCTTTTTATTATGTTTCGTTGTGTTGAAAATATGGTATGTATGCATCTATTTTAGTGCCTTAAAGTACTTTGAAAGCAATCTTTTGCTGAAGGCTAAAAAGCTGTTGTCTTAAGGGTGGAATACTATTTGTTAAAAAGACCTGTGAAATAGCTCATACTTGTTTGTTATAAAGTGCTGACATATAGGTGCATTTGTCATTTTTATTTGGCAAATTCATTCAGTTTGAGAATCTACAAATACTTAATATTTGCATTCTGTTTGCCAGGTACTTTTAACCAATGTTATTTTCACTTAATACTCAGAAATGTTAAAGTGTGATATTTTTTATGCTAACTCAGTGTTTGTGTGTGTTTTTTATTTTTATTTTATTTTATTTTATTTTTAAATATATATTTTATTGATTTTATACAGAGAGGAAGGGAGAGAGATAGTTAAAAACATCGATGTGGGAGAGTCATCGATCAGCTGCCTCTTGCACACCCCCTACTGGGGATATGCCCGCAACCAAGGCACATGCCCTTGACCGGAATCGAACCCGGGTCCCTTGAGTCCCCAAGCCGATGCTCTATCCATTGAGCCAAACCGGTTTCGGCTTGTGTGTGTTTTTAAACCATCCTTGTGACCTGAATTGAACTAGCATGAAGACTCCTCGATAGTGTTTACTTGTTGGTTGTTTCTCTAACTTTTACAAACCATTTAATTAAAAAAGTTACCCAGTACATCTTCAAATAGCAGTGTTTTACTCCGTAGACGGATAGTTGACTCTTTGTTGTTTGCTTTAAATGTATTTTTGCACAGGTAATTCATATAAATTACAGAAAATTATAAGATGAAGATATTCTTAAATGATCTTTAAGTCGCCTGTGTTACCATAAAACCATTCAAACCTGTAAAGAATTTTTGTGAGTTTATTTGAGCCAAACTGTCGACATATGCCGGGAAGCAGAACCTCAGCGAATTGAGATAATGCTCCGGAGAATGGCGGGTTACGTCTGTATTTATACATTGCCATCAAAGGAAGGGATGGAGGTGGATTACATGGAATCCATTGGTGATAGAATAGAGAGGCGGCAGAAAGCAAAGTGGGGAAACCCCTGGGATTGGGTATATGCATGCACACAAGACCTTTGGTTGATCTCTCCCCTTTACCCCCACCCTCCCCTACCTTCCCTCTGAGGTTTGATGGTCTGATCGATGCTTCTCTGTCTCTGGATCTGTTTTTTGTTCATCAGTTTATGTTGTTCATTAGATTCCACAAATGAGTGAGATCATGTGATATTTCTCTTTCTCTGACTGGCTTATTTCGCTTAGCATAATGCTCTCCCGCGCCATCCATGCTGTTGCAAAGGGTAGGCGTTCCTTTTTTACCGCAGCATAGGATTCCATTGTGTAGATGACCCAGGTTTTTAATCTACTCATCTGCCCACGTTTGACTTTTTTTAAAATTATATTTTATTGATTTTTTATAGAGAGGAAGAGAGAGGGATAGAGAGTTAGAAACATCGATGAGGCCGGGACCGGTTTGGCTCAATGGATAGAGCGTCGGCTTGGGGACTGAAGGGTCCCAGGTTCGATTCCGGTCAAGGGCATGTACCTTGGTTGCGGGCACATCTCCAGTAGGGGGTGTGCAAGAGGCAGCTGATCGATGACTCTCTCTCATCGATGTTTCCAACTCTCTATCTCGCTCCCTTCCTCTCTGTACAAAATCAATAAAATATATTTAAAAAGAAAAGAAAAGAAAAGAAACATCGATGAGAGGGAATCATCGACCAGCTGCCTCCTGCACACGCCCTACTGGGGATGTACCCGCAACCAAGGTACATGCCCTTGACTGGAATCGAACCTGGGACCTCTCAGTCCGCGGGCAGACGTTCTATCCACTGAGCCAAATCGGTTTCGGCCCACGTTTAACTTTTTGAAGAAATGCCAGTTTTCCTTTACATGCCCACCAGCAGCAATGTATGGTTTTTCCACCCGCTCCCCGACACATTTTATTGTCTGTCTTTTTAAGCACCAGGTGGAGTAGTCACTTGAAGTTTTGTATTTCCCTTAGGACATGACATTAACATCTTTCCATGTCTGTCTTTGGAGAAATACCTATTGAAATCCTTTGTCCGTTTCTAAATTGTGTTATTTGTCTTGTTGTTATTAAGTTGTAAGTGCTTCTTATATATTCCAGCACAAGCCCTTATAATTTGCACATGTCCTATTCTGTAGGCTGTCTTTCCACTTACTTGCTGGTTGGCGGCTTGCAACCGAAGGCTTTTCCTATCCACATGGAGCGATCTGTGGTGGAGCGATCTGTGGTTGTGGTGTCCTGTCTGAAAACCCACTGTGGCCCTGGCGGGGTGGGTCAGTTGGTTGGAGCATGCTCCCGTACGTTAAAGGTTGTGGGTTCAATTCCTGGTCAGGGCGCAGGCCTAGGTTGCAGGTTCAATGCCCACGTGCAGTCTGCATTCATTCTCCGGCCAGAACTGAGTTTGGGGGGTGGGAGGGTCGGGTCAGACCCATCCATGTTCTCTAAGAGACTGGAAAATGTATATGCTGGCACCCGGTGTCACATTTAGCAGCTTGTAAACCTATTTGGCCATACTCTTACTCTAAACCAATGTTTCCCAAACTTCTCTCAAGATGAGAATCACCTGGTGGAGTTGTTAAACTACAGATTCCTGAATCCCAACTAAGAAGTGCTAAACTAGAATTTTGGGGAATCTGTATTTTAACAACTCCACCAGGTGATTCTCACCATGAGAGAAGTTTGGGAAACGCTGCTCTAAACAAATCAACCATGTGCTGACTTTTCGCCCAGGAGGACAGAGAGGGTGTTTAGCGGAACCGCCTCTGGTCCTCACCCCCTGGCGGACCCGCCCCAAGGGGCCCGGCCTTTTCCCCAGCGAACTTGACCTCTAGGCGTCCCCCCCCCCCCCGGCGGTGGCGGGGGTGGGGGTGGGGGTGGGGTGGGGGAAGGAAACCTCCCAGCTCCCCGGTTTCTCTCTCTGGGGTCAGGGGCCGCCCCTCGCCGCGCCCAGGCCCGGAGCCGCCCTCCCCCCCGGGGCGATAACACCCGGGGCCCCGGCGCGGGCGCAGCAGCTGCGCGATGGAGGCGGCCCCCGGAGGGTCCCCGCGCCCCGCAGCCCAGGCGCCCGCGTCCCAGCCCGAGCCCCGCGCCCCGGAGCCCCGCGCCCCGGAGCCCCGCGCCCCGGAGCCCCGCTCGGTGAGCGCAAAGCGAGGGGGAGCCGGCGGGGAGCTGCGGGGAGAGGGAGCGCGGGGCAGGGGCCGCTCAGGATCTTGGGGGCGCGGGGTCGGCCCCGTGGGGCTGGCCGTGGAGAGCCCAGGGAGAGCATAGCACTGAGCCTGAGACAAGCTCAGCGACTGGGGTCTGGTCTGCTGGTGCCAGGCTAGGCTCTGGTCCCCCCTGCTCCGCTCCGGGTCTTCCCCGACAGCTCCTGGACCCTGGGCCCCGGGGGCAGCCTGCCTCCCCCACTCCTGGCAGGTGGCGTGGGCTCAGCCGCCCTCCCAAACGCCGGCCTTGCCCTGGCACCAGGCTCTCCTTGGGGAGATGGCCCTCAGCGATGCCCTGTCTGGCCACCAGGCTCCAGAGTGAGGGTAGAGGGCAGGTGTGTTGGAATTGGTGTCTGCTGAATGCAAAACCCGCTGCGGCTCCCAACGAAGCTTTTCCCCACCCGTGGCTTCACCTCGCCACCAGCTCAGCTCCATGCCCGCCTCCCGGGCACCTCAGAGCAAAGGCCTGCCCCCCCCCCCCCCCCCCCGGAAAGAAAGCTCCAGGAGAAGACTCTCTGAGGACCCTCACTTCCCGGTGAGATGGAGAAATCCGGGCTGAGATGAATGGCGGGCGAGAGGGAAACCTCACGCTGCCAATGCAGTGGCAGCATTTCGTTCTCAGGACCGTCCTGGGAGGCGGCTCTACCTCCAGGTAACATGTGAGGAACCGAGACAGCCTGGCAAGGTACGGTGCCCTGGGTCCCACGGCTGGAAATGGCAGGCGCCGAACTGGAATCCAAGCTAAAATATGTGCTCAGCCAACTGTGAAGGGTTTATGATTTAAGGGCTTAAATTGTCAAGATTCCAAAATCATATCCTTTACCTCGTTTCAGCCGGAATTTTTTTCTCCCTTTCAAGTGCCACGTGCCAGGAACTTGCCAGGCACAGGTAGGGGGACACAAAATTCCCAGCATGGAGAGGAACAGGCAGGAGGGCCATCACGGCGGATTCTGCCTGTTGTTGGAGTTTTCTGGAAGCTGAGCTCATGGTCACACCATGTCAGCAAAGGAGACCACATCCTGCTGGGTGCATGGGTTTCTCTGCGGGCAGAAAGCGTGTGCAAAGGATATGATAAGCTCTTATCGGGGAAGGCCTTCCCTTCCAAAGGGCCCGTCTGGGTGTCCTGCAAGATACCAAAAACGGGTGAAGCCATCGTCTCCTCCGCTCCCCCGCCCATCCCCAAGCAAAGGACGAGGAAGAAGAATTCCCAGAACCTTCCAGAGAAATGGTAGCGAAATGGCATCTTTCAGAGAAATGGCACTTGCTGCATTTATTCCTTTGACAAATACTAGACTAAACCAAGCATCTGCCACACTCATATATTCGACTGGCATTGTTTTAGGTCCTGGGGCCATGGTGGTGACTAAATAGGTCATGCTCTCAGAGACCTTCCAAGTGCAACTGGAAAACAGACTTGGGTGGCCCGGGAAGGCCTCTCTGAGGAGACCACACTTAGGCTTAGACTCAAATGGAAGTGCAAAGGCCCTGAGGCAGCAGTAGGCAGAGTCATTTCTGAGGACTAGGACTGAGAGCAGAAGCAGGGAGCCACGTAGGAGGCGCTCACTGATGGGTTAGACGGGGGGGAATTGGGAAGGGGGGATTGAGGGTGGCTCCTGGGTCTGTGGCCTAAGCTGCTGAATGGACATGGGGGTCATTTAATGCAATGGGGACAAACAGGGTTAGATTAGGAGTTGGTTGAAACAATGGGATGGAAACCAGAAACGGTGTGTTTGACCATACTAAGCTGGGATGCCTACTAGACAACCACACAGGGCTGTGAGTAGCAGTCGAACATATGAGTGTGGAGTCTGCTGGGTAACTTAGGGCTTGCAAACTTTATACACACTCACACATTGGGCTTTATAAACATTACTTCATTTCGGTGGTGGATTGGTAAACAGTCTCTCCAGGGAAAAAGCTCTGATTGGTCATGTTTGCTGGTTTCCGTGGTGTGAATACCCTCACCATGAATGAGTTCAGGCCACTAGTCATTCAACAACTGACTGCAGGAGTCCCCAACATCCAACCATCAGCTCCCAGAGCCATCACCACGTTTGCTTATCGAAATAACCTGTGGAGTTGGCAGGACTTTTCCATTTGACAGATAAGGCTTAGAGAGGGACATTGGTTTATTCAAGGTCACCCAGGGAGAGGGTAGGGAAGTTGAGGGTCTCTCAGGCTTGCTGATTCAGAAAATAAAACACAAGCAGGAAGCACTAAGGGGGAAATACAAGGAAGAACTTCCCCCTGGAAAAGTTGAGAGGTCATGTTTTTGTTTTTCTTTTTCTGTCTCACTTCCCTTTAGGATGGTTTTGGGGTATGTTAGTACGGAGAGGTTACAGAAAAAGCCCTTAACACATAGGGATTTCAGGATGCTCATGGAAGCCACGGGGGCGTGGGGAGCTGTTGTGTGTCTGTGAAGCTGGGGCTCAGCTCCTGTGTCTCCCCAGGACAGAAGAGCCGGCCGCCTGTCATTCTGTACGAAGGTTTGCTATGGCATTGGCGGGGTCCCCAACCAGGTGGCCTCCAGCGCCACAGCCTTTTACCTGCAGCTCTTCCTGCTCGATGTGGCCCAGGTGAGTGTGGGCAGCAGCCCACGGCCCCCTATTCTATCTTCCTTCCACCCCCACCTGGTCCATGACAGACAGCACTTTTGACCTAAGCCTGACAAAAAGCCAAGGATATTTGTTGTGGGTTGTTTGTACTGGAAAATGAGAAACAATGTGAATGCCCAACGGTATAGAAGCAGTTGAGTAATAACTTGGACTATCTCCACTTGATGGATTATCGTGTGGCCATTTAAAGAATGGGTTAGATCAATACCAGTTGACGTGGAGGAATTTCCATGATGCACTAGCAAGTGAGAAAGTTAGTTTTTAGAGTATACAAAATGATCCTATTTTAGCAAAACAAAGACATGCCCCATATATGTATGTCCATGAGTATATGTGTGTATGTGTCAGTATATGATCTATAATAATCTATAATAATAACAGAATAATGTGCTAATTAGACTGGACAGCTGAACAACCTTCCGGATGAAGCTGGGCTGCAAGGGCCACGCCCCTTGCACAAATTTGGTGGATCAGGCCTCTTGTTAAAACTAAGCATGGAGAAAATGACACCAGGCTATTAGTGTTGGCTATAGGAGGGAATGGTGGAGAATAGAGAGCTAACAAAAAATATTCATTTTAGCCAAAGCCAGTTTGGCTGAGTGGTAGAGCGTCAGTCTGTGGACTGAGGGGTCCCAGGTTCGATTCCAGTCAAGGGCATATACATTGGTTGCGGGCACATCCCCGGTAGGGGGTGTGCAAAAGGCAGCTGGTCGATGTTTCTCTCTCATGGACGTTTCTAGCTCTCTATCTCTCTTCCTTCCTCTCTGTAAAAAATCAATAAAATATATTTTAAAAAATATTCATTTTAAAAAATATTTTTAAATTGATTTCAGAGAGGAAGGGAGGTGAGGAGAAAGATGGAAACATCAATGATGAAAGAGAATGGTTGTTCAGCTGCCTCAAACTGGGCATGTGCCTTGACAGGAACTGTGACCTCCTGGTTCATAGGTCGACACTCAACCACTGAGCATGCCAGCGGGTGGTATAGTTGTTTTTTTAAAATGACACTGATATGGTTGCATGTATATAAGATTATAAATTGCAAATGTATATCAATGCATGAAAGGATGACCATCAAAATGCTTCTGGCATTGTCTCAGGATGGTGGGATTTCAGATGAGCTCTGCTCAAATATTTTTCCGTGTTGTTTGAATGTTTTAATAGTGAGTGTATAATTTATGTAATCAGAAAAATTTTAAAAATCTTATTATGAGACAAAAAGTCTACCTATGACTGTCAGCCTCTGCGTATCCTCCTTGCACTGAGCACCTCGGCAAGGGTCCCTCATGCTTCTCCAGAAGTGAGTGGGCATGAGTGACAAGGGCGATGGGCCTGTAGGTGGCTGTCAGCTCCCTCCCACGCTCCTTCCTACACGTGCACAGATGTGTCCTGAGAGCCTTCTGGATTAGTGTTCTGGGGAGCAGGTCTTTACACTCAGCCTCTGGCCCCAGCCAGGCTCCCAGATACCCCCTCTGGTGGGTGGGCAGGCCTGCACACCTTCTCTGACTCTGCCAGTGCTTAGCTATCTCCTCCCCTGTCACTGCAGATCCCTGCTGCCCAGGTGTCACTGGTCCTGCTTGGAGGGAAGGTGTCTGGGGCAGCTGCTGACCCCGTGGCTGGGTTCCTTATCAGCAGAAGCAGGAGGACAGGGTCTGGACGACTCATGCCCTGGTGAGCAACCCCATGCATGGTCCATAAGGTGGTATTGCCAGCGGGTGGTATTGATGGTTTTTTAAATGACACTGATATGGTTGCATATATATAAGATTATAAATTGCAAATGTATATGTGGTTGTCATAGCCCTGTGTCTTAGCAGAAAACCCTGTGGGAGATTAGAGGACAAGACCGGACATCCGGTGATAGGACTGGACAGTAGGTGACAGTACTGGGCTGGCCAGACCGTCATGCAGGAGTCAGAGACATTCTGGGGGACTTTCCCTCACCAGATGGCTCAGGCAGACAAGGTCTCCAAGACTCCCAGGCCTGGCCCAGAGGTCTCCGTGAGACCAGAGTGGCTGTGGGCCCGGGAAGGCCTTGCAGAGTAGGTCCAACTCTTGTGCTCCAGGCCAGTGGTCGGCAAACTCATTAGTCCACAGAGCCAAATATCAACAGCATAACGATTGACATTTCTTTGGAGAGCCAATTTTTTAAAAAAAAACTTAAACTTCTAATGCCACGCCTTCAACATAGACTAGCCCAGGCCGTGGTATTTTGTGGAAGAGCCATACGCAAGGGGCCAAAGAGCCGCATGTGGCTCATGAGCAACAGTTTGCTGACCACGGTTCCAGGGACCTTGACTGGAGGAATGGCACCACCGAGCACCCACATCCTAGCCAGAGTCACAGCCCCGCATCCTGGTACTCATGTCCCTTCAATCCCGGCCCTCCACGGCTCCCGCCCTGAGAGCCCCAGCCCAGGGCTCAGGTCCAGAGGGGCGAGGTTGCACCAGGCCCGCCCTTTGAGGCCCCAGGCCTGGTTTTGTGGGCGATTCACACCTTAGCCCTCCTCCCCCGTGTGCCCCCACAGGGTGCTGGGCTGCATGCCCTTCATCGCCTTGGCTTACTTCTTCCTGTGGTACCTGCCCCCCTTCACCAACCTCCGGGGCCTTTGGTACATGGCCTTCTACTGCCTGTTCCAGGCTGTGTCCACGGTAAGCAGGCCCGCCGGCCTGAGCCTGGGCCCCTGGAACCCCACTGCTGGCCAGTAGGCATGGTGACACCAGTGTATCCCGGGTGGGGGGTCAGGGGATCCCTTGCTCCCCGCACCTGGCCATCTCCTCCAGCTCCCCCTGAGCCCCTGGGCTCTGGGCTGGGTGCTGCCCTTGGCCCTGGACCCCGCCTGCAGGGACCTGTGGCGACCGACGTGCCAGCCTCCCAGCCCGGCTGGGACAGGGCGCCCCCTGGGTGGTCTGGGCAGAGGGGGTGTCGTCTGAGCCCCGGCCCCCAGTTCTTCCAGGTGCCCTACACGGCGCTCACCATGCTGCTGACGCCCAGCCCCCGGGAGCGGGACTCGGCCACCGCCTACCGTGAGTGTGGGCGCCGGAGGGACGGCGGGGGCAGCCCGTGGGGGCGCGAACGCGGACCCTGAGCACGCGCTGTGCCCCAGGGATGACCCTGGAGATGGCGGGGACACTGCTGGGAGCCGCCGCCCACGGGCTCATCGTGGCCGGGGCCCACGGCCCCCACCGGTGCGAGGACGCCGAGTTCCCGGGGCCCGGAGCCGTCCCCCCCAACGCGGTGAGTGCCCGCGCCCTCGCCCTGAGCACCCTCAGCGCCTCTGCAGCGGGAGGCAGGCCCCAGGGAAGGGTCAGAGAGGGACATGGAAGGGCTGTGTCTACGTCAGCCATCAGTTGGTCCATTGTCCCCGTTAAGCAAATGACATCACGGCCCCCCAGAACCATGGGAGTCAGCTTGACTCCTCCCTCTCCCTCAGTCCAACCCATTGCCAAATCCTGCCATGTTCCGGGACAAAAGCTTCGGCATCCACTGCCACCGACCGTGCCTCTCCAGCCCCTGCCCGTCACCTCCTCCGGGCGAGGGGGGTGGGGAGCAGAGGGCTGAGAGGAGCCCCCCCCCCCCAAAGCACAAAGTGTTCAGGCGCTTCTTGGCGGCTCCAGCTCTGTTGTCCCATTGACTCCGCGCACACACTGCAAGTTAATTCATAGACAAAATGCATCCAGGCAAAGACCCCTGTGCAGCTGGGCTGGACCTGCGCCCTGAGCCCTGCCACCCCCCCCTCTTACACACACACACACACACACACACACACACACACTGCCAGGCAGCCTCTGTCTGGAACTGGGTGACTTATTCCCATGCATGTCTTTGTATGTGCTTTATGTTTTAATTTTGCCTGATGATAGGTATCACTGTCTCTTTTCTGTCATTTATCTGGGTCAGCCTGCGTCACACTGTAACCTGTGCTCATGGATCCGTCTTCCAAGCTACTCACAGTGGATGCTCAGGGTCTGGCATACAGAATCAGCACCAAGGAATGTTGTTTTGAAATGTGTGTGTGTGTGTGTATGTGTGTGTATGTGTGTGTGTGTGTGTGTGTGTGTGTGTGTGTGTGAGAGAGAGAGAGAGAGAGAGAGAGAGGAAGGTGTGTGTGTGGGAGAGAGGGGGGACTCAGATCCTCGGCCCCCTGGTGCATGGGTGCATGCAGGAGGCACAGGGTCAGCAGAAGGCCCATGCTGGCCCTTAGCTCTCCCCTCCTACTGGGCTCACTGGGAGGAGTACCCAGGGTCCTTGGCCTTGGGCTGAGGGTCCCTCTGCTCCCATCGGGAGGTACCCTGCCCCCGGGTGCCCTCACCTCCACGGGTGGGAGACATCACCCCACCCCAGTTCTGTCCTGTTCCACAGACCTGTCTCTACTCCATTGCAGCGGCCGTGGTTGCTGTGACCTACCCCGTGTGCAGTGGTTTCCTCTGCTTGGGGGTGAAGGAGCGGCCAGGTACGGGGGTGCAGGCGGACGCCGGGGACAGGGCTTCTCTCGGGCGTGGGTTTTGGTTGGGAACGCTGCCAAGTGGAGATGTCACCTCCTGTGTTGCAGACCCCTCGGCCCCCGCCTCCAGCCGGGGCATGAGCTTCCTGGCCGGGCTGGGCCTCACGGTGCGGCACCCGCCCTACCTCAAGCTGGTGATCTGCTTCCTGTTCATCTCAGCAGCTGTCCAGGTACGGTGGCCGGGCCGATGCCCACTGGCGTGGCTCCGGCCGCACTGAGCTCGCGTGGGTTCCAGTTTAGACTCTCAACCCACGGCACCCCAGTGAGGCCTGAGTGTTCATAGGGGGAGAGCAGCAGCTGGCGTGTGGCCCAGAGAGGGTGGTGCTGGGAGGAGAGAGATCTAGAGAGAGCCCCTGAGGATGAGGAGGGTCAGGGCCCAGACTCCAGGAAAACTGCCTGGGGGGTAACGTGCACCCAACCTGAGCTGTGCGAGAAGCGGTAGACCGGAAATGGGGTCTATGCCTGAGTCGGCGATAAGCATCCTTTGTAGGGGCGGGGACTGCATATGGCGGCAGCAACCGGGGTTCAAGGTCCCACAAGGGAGGCCAGGATTGAGACGCAGGCCTTGCTCTTGCCTTCTGAGGCGCCGCCATTCCATGCGCCCCCCAACCCCGTCCCCCCCTAGGTGGAGCAGAGCTACCTGGTCCTGTTCTGTACACACGCCTCCGAGCTCCATGACCACGTGCAGAGCCTGGTGCTGACCATCCTGGTGAGGAGACCTGGGTGACACGTGTGGTTCTTGGCACGACATGTGCGGCCGAGGTCAACTTTCTGGGCCTCCTAACCCTCCAGCAGAGGAATGGGGGCCAGGGTCATCACGTTCACAGCCACGGGTTCCCACCAGGAGGCAAAGTCAAGGCTGGGCATCCCGCCTGAAAGCCAGGGCGCTGGGAACCTGGGAGCGTGGCCGGCCGGGCAGGGGGCCGGGCTGGGGGCCAAGCTGTGGCCGGGCTGCGACGGTTCCGTCTGCCCACAGGTCTCGGCCGTCCTGAGCACGCCCCTGTGGGAGTGGTTCCTGCAGCGCTTCGGGAAGAGGGTGTCAGCCTTCGGGATCACTGTGAGTGAGGCGGGAAGCCGGGCTCGAGGTCGGGTTGGGCAAGGTTGACCTTGGAGCGTGAGCCTCCTGGGAGCCAGCCGGGGCCATCTATAATCGCCGTGTCTTCAGTGCCCCGCACGGGGCCAGGCTGGGGCTGTTGGCACGGAGGGTGAGGAGGTGGGCCAGGCAGAGGGGGCAGCTCGTGTGTCTGTCTCCCCAGGTGATGGTGCCCTTTGTCATCCTGCTGGCGGCTGTGCCCACGGCCCCCGTGGCCTACGTCGTGGCCTTTGTGTCTGGCGTGAGCATCGCTGTGTCCTTGCTGCTGCCCTGGTAGGCTGCGTGAGGGGAAGGGGATGTGGGAGCTCCATGTTCTTCCTGATGGGCCTGCCCTCCTTCCCGTCTACCTGGCGCCCCGGGCCCCTTGTGCCCAGCCTGTGCGGGGAGCCGCTCGCCCACGTGCAGGGAGGGAGGCCAGCAGCACTGTCCTGGGAGCCGTCCTCAAGGAGCACCCGCAGCTGGCATGGTGGGCAGCCAGGGCTGGGGGCGTAGAGTTGTGGAGGAATACCCACACCCAGTGCCTGGCTCTCTGTGGGCCGGGCCTGGGCCTGGGGAGTGAGGACTCAGGGGTGACTCTGACTTGGTCTCTTGCGGGCTGGTGGCTTTCCAGGGGGGAGGGGGTGGGGCGGGGGGATAACTCTGCGGCCCCCTCCCCAGGTCCATGCTCCCAGACGTGGTGGATGACTTCCAGCTGCAGCACCAGCACGGGCCCGGCATAGAGACCATCTTCTACTCCTCCTACGTCTTCTTCACCAAGCTCTCGGGCGCGGGCGCCCTGGGCATCTCCACGCTCAGCCTCGAGTGAGTCCGGAGCTGGGCTGTGTGGAGGGAAGAGGGCCGAGTCTCCCCCTTCCCCCCCAGCAGCCCGGGGACCACGCTCTGCTCCTTGGAGAATGCGGGGAGACGCCTGCCTCAGCTGGCTCCGGGAATGGGACTGAAAGGGGCCTTTCCGGGGGGCCATCCCCTCCTGAAGCCTCAGTCCCCCACATGCTCAGTTCTCTCCGGACTCCTCCCTGCCAAGCCCATTCCTTCGACACTCCCTTCCACCCTGGCTGGGCTGGGCTGGCCAGGAAGTGAATCTGAGTTTGAGGAGAGGGTGGAGGTGGAGGTGGGGGGTCTGGGAGCCCCCCCCCAAGGGAGCCAGGCTCAGGAGGGCCTGAGCCGGACGCTGGGACCGTGTTTCTCCAGGTTTGCGGGGTACAAGGCGGGAGCCTGCCAGCAGGCAGAGCAGGTGGTGGTGACCCTCAAGGTCCTCATCGGGGCCGTGCCCACCTGCATGATCCTCACCGGGCTTTGCATCCTCATGGTCGGCCCCGGCCCAAAGGTGCCAAGCCAGGACGCCGCTCGCCAGCTGAGCCTTCGGAGGTAGGCACCCCCTGCACACGGCCACACACGGCAGAGCTGCCAGCACCCATGGGGGCACACAGAAGTGTGCCGATGTCAGGCCAGCCAGTCCGCAGGTCTCCGGGCGGTGCCTTTGGGGACTCGGCCTCAGCGTCAGTGACGCCGTCTCAGTTTTCCGCTCAGTCCCCGTCCTGGAGAGCCAGGCGGACGGTGGTAGGGGAGGGCTCCCTGGTCACCCCGATTCCTTCGGCTCTCCGCAATCCCAGGCGCCTCTTCCACTCGCTGGACCTCGGGCACCTCTTGTGCTTGCTGACTCCTGTAGCTGTCCTCCTCCCAACCCTTCCAGCCCACCCCTACTGCCTTCCAGTTCCAGACCCACACGTCTGGCTCTCATTGGGATATCTCCAGCTGATGTCCCACAACCATGGCAGCCAGTGTTTTTGTATGTGTGTTTTTAATTTTATTGATTTTTTACAGAGAGGAAGTGAGAGGGACAGATAGTTAGAAACATCGATGAGAGAGAAACATCGATCAGCTGCCTCTTGCACACCCCCTACTGGGGATGGGCCTGCAACCAAGGTACATGCCCTTGACCAGGATTGAACCTGGGATCTTTCAGCACACTCTATCCACTGAGCCAAACTGGTTTCGGCAGCAGCCAGTCTTAATGATCCCACAAAGGAATTCATATTCTTTTTTTAAAAATATATTTCATTGATTTTGTACAGAGAGGAAAGGAGAGAGATAGAGTTAGAAACATCAATGAGAGTCTTCGATCAGCTGCCTCCTGCACACCCCCTACTGGGGATGTGCCCGCAACCAAGGTACATGCCCTTGACCCGGAATCGAACCCGGGACCTTTCAGTTCCCAAGCCGACGCTCTATCCATTGAGCCAAACCGGTTTCGGCAGGAATTCATGTTCTTGTCGCTGTCAGATCCGCCATCCCGTCTGGGAGCCGGAAACCGGGGAAGGATAGATCACCTCCCACTCCTCCCCGGACGGCTGTGCCGAGAGCTCTGAGCCTCGCCCTTGCCCTCCCAGAGCATAGTCCCACTGCAGGGACGGATCTGCTCACCGTCTGGCTTTCCCCGTACACGGGGGCACCTTGAGGCCCTATCTTTGTGTTTCTTCATTGTTATGTCCTAAGACAGTGGTCGGCAAACTGCAGCTCACGAGCCACATGCGGCTCTTTGGCCCCTTGGGTGTGGCTCTTCCACAAAACACCACGTGTGGTGGCGCGCGTACAGTGCGATTGAAACTTCGTGGCCCCTGCGCAGAAGTCGGTTTTCGGCCCTCAAAAGAAATGTCAATCGTCGTCCTGTTGATATTTGGCTCTGTTGACGAATGAGTTTGCCGACCGCTGTCCTAAGGGCTCGGCTCAGTGCCCGAAGCCAAGCGGATGCTGCGATATCAGCATGGTCCCAGACTTTCATGGGCACGGGTCCACATCTTTGCAGGTGCTCGTGCACTCACAAATACGAGCACATGCACACACCGAGGACCACACAGGGGAGACAGGAAGTGACATCATCACCCATGCATCCCTCATCCCTCAGCATGGCTGGTCTCAGGACTCCTGCCAAGTCACTCTGGCCTCGCGTGTCACACTCAGGGAGTGACACACAGCTGCTTGATGGCGCGTGGGGCACAGGCCCGTGGCTTTATTCACGCAGGGGCGGGGGTGTGTGTGAAGGGGAGGAGTTGCTTGGAAGACAAGGACCAGCCACTGACACCTCCAGGCGGTCTGGCAGGGCAGAGACCCCCCCCCCCCTCACCCTCCTGGGCTTCTTCCCTTCCTGCAGGAGGACCAGCTACAGCCTTGCGGCGAGTTAGAGCTTCGTGAGCCGAGCAGCAGCAGCCCGCAGCCTCTGGGCTCGAAGTCCCCCTCTCCTCTCAGGTGTTCAGAACCCCCACTTCGCAGCGTGCACGTGACCTTATCCCCGGGACACGGAGTCTCCAGCGACCTCTCCAGAAGGGACTGGCCTGGGTCCCACCTGTCTTTCCTTACCTGTTGACCACGGACTATTTCACATAAACCGGTGCCCCTGCCTACCCGGCTCCAGCTGACGTTTGACTTGGAAAGCATCCCCATAGCAGTTTGTCCTGGGAAAAAAGGAGCCTCGGCCAGCCTGGCCTGCAGACTCCCCAACCACCAGCTGACCGGACAGGACAGACACACAGACAGACCCTTTGTTCTTCCTGACGCCCCCGTAGACACCTGAGAGAGAGACCGACAGACATCCATGAATGGGCAGAGTGGGGACAGATGGTCAGCGGGGGATGTTCAGTGAGGACCAACAGACAGATGCAGGGAGGCCAGCAGACACGGCGAGAGCGAGGGGACAGCAGTGGGGTGAGAAGATGGAGGGGGCACGGGTGTTTCTCAGGCCTTTGTCAGGTTCATGACTGCTGCCAGAGGTGGGCACAGGCTGAAGCTGAGCCACCAGAGAGCGGTCATTTTTATGAACAGTAGTTCTTTCTGTGGGAATATCTTTTCTGGACTTTTATAAAAAGTACAGGAACCACCATTTCCTAGAAGTCATATCTTTGGAAAAGATCCACTGAGGTTTTGGGGTGTTGTTTTTTTTTCCAACACAACAAACCGCATTAAAGGGTTTATCTCCTGTTGAGTCAGTAAATTGTGGTGGTGGGCAGCCCTCCATAATCCCTCGGCCCAGGGCGAGGCTCCCTTCCCCTTCCCCCGGGCCTGTGGCGGCCTCTTAGGCGAGAGAGCCTTTGGGCTGCCAGAGCTCAGACCCGGGCGCAGAGGTGCTCGGCAGAGCTCGGTTAGAGCCTCTGGCTTCCTCACGGACGCTGGCATGAGAAGGAGCTGACCTCACAGTGAGCATATAATGGACCCTGTCTTCCCGACACCTGACCTCTCAGGCCCTGACACTGGCATGGGGGTCTGATCCTTGAGGTCACAGGGCACCAGGAAGAGCTGGGCTCAGCTTCTCTGCATTGCCCCTGACTCAGGAAGGAACGACAGAAGCCCTGCCCACCCCCTCTGTGCACGGGTACACACAGGCAGGCGCGCGCGCGCGCACACACACACACACACACACACACACACACACACAGGCAGGCCCACGAGCCCACACACACACGTTTCAGAAAGTTGGAAGATCACACTGGCCACGTGGAGAGAGCACCTGGTAGGGCACACACAGGGTGAGATCTCTACCCGCTATTTATGCATTAGAATTCTGGACGCTGCAGGTAGGATCAGAAGTTTGTGCCACATTTTATTTTTAAAGGAATTTTTAAAATCTTTATTGTTGAAAGTATTACGTATGTCCTTATTCTCCCCCATTGACCCGCTTCAGCCCATCCCGTGCCCTCCGCTCCCGCCGCCCACTTACCACCCCTGTGTTCATGGGTTATGCATAGATGCATACAAGGTCTATGGTTGACTACCTTCCCCTCCCCCCCCATGGTCCCTCCTCCACCTTCCCTCCAGGATTCCGTACTCTGTTCCATACTTCTATGTCTCTGGATCCATTCAGTTCATCAGTTTATTTTGTTAATTACATTCCATATATGAATGAGATCATGTGATACTTGTCTTTCTCTAACTTATTTCCTTAGCATAATACTCTCCAGGTCCCTCCATACTGTCTTAAAGGGTAAGAGATTCGCCGGCACCGGTTTGACTCAGCGGTAGAGCGTCGGTCTGCGGACTGAAAGGTCCCGGGTTCGATTCCGGTCAAGGGCATGTACCTTGGTTGCGGGCACATCCCCAGTAGGGGGTGTGCAAGAGGCAGCTGGTCGATGACTCTCTCTCATCGATGTTTCTAACTCTCTATCCCTCTCTCTTCCTCTCTGTGAAAAATCAATAAAAATATATTAAAAAAAAAAAAAAAAAAGGGTAAGAGATTCTTCTCTTTTACTGCTGCATAGTATTTCATATATATATACCTCAACTTTTTTATCCACTCATCTGCTAATGATGTGCCACATTTTATAGCACCTACATTTCCCAGGGTGCAGTATCAAGGAGCAGTCTACAGCAGCAGGGGCCAGCTCTGGGGTCAGGGGTTAGATCTCAGAGATAGGGCCATCATGGGCTGGCCAAAAGGTCTCCTACCATTTCTCCCTCACAGCCACCCTATGAACCAGAAACTAGCGTTCTCTTATTCAGATGAGGAAACAGAGAGCCTAAGCCACTTGCCTATGGTAATGGTCTTAAACCTAAGTATTATAATATAGTTCTTAAATTAGGTGGTTGGTGGTTCATTTTATTATTAAGCCTTCCTAAATTTTATATTAATATCTATTGCATGTATCAAATATCCATACACTTTTTAGAAAAATTTGGGCATAAAGTGGGATTTGTAAATGACTTTCCTTATGTAAAATATTCTCAATATCAATATAACATTAAACAATAGTTTATTTTATTTTTATTTTTTTAAATATATTTTATTGATTTTTTACAGAGAGGAAGGGAGAGAGAGAGAGCTAGAAACGTCGATGAGAGAGAAACATCGACCAGCTGCCTCCTGCACACCCCCCACTGGGGACGTGCCCGCAGCCAACGTACATGCCCCTGACCGGAATCGAACCCGGGACCCTTCAGTCCGCAGACCAATGCTCTACCACTGAGCCAAGCCGGCTTCGGCAACAATAGTTTATTTTTTAAAATATATTTTCATTGATTCTAGAGAGGGAGAGAATCATTGATTGGCTACCTCCTGCATGATTGGGGATCAAGCCTGCAACCTGAGCATATGCCCTAACTGGGAATCAGACGGGACCTCCTGGTTTGTAGGTGGATGCTCAACCACTGAGCCACTGTGGTCGGGCTAAGCAATAATTTAAAAAAATTAGCTCTTCTCTCCCTGTCTTCAAAAGCAGCAAACGTTGGATTATCTTCTTTTGTTCCAAGGACTATAATAATAGCAGAGGCAAAGGAAACGTCTTTTGTATGAGAGTTGTCATGGAATCAGATTTGTTGTGAAGAAGTAAAGAATTTATATTCTGATCTGACTGAGCTAGAAAAACTCCTTGGCAAATGTAATGGGGAAACTGAGACAGAGAACTGAACAAACTGGTCCTAGCAAGATAATAAATGACAAGGTCTTCTCTTCCCTAACCAGGGACACTTAGGAACAAATGGTTTACACATTCCAGACCATTTAGGGGCAGACCCCATGCTGTCCAGGTCCCTCTTTGGTGACATTCTCTGAAGGTAATACTGACCAGAGAATGACTGATTAATCAGCATATTAAAGCACACAGCTGAAAAGCTGAATTCCCACTGCGATCCTGAGACCTCTGCCAAAATCCCCTTTAGAAAACAGGTTAAGAATCCCTGAGCCAGCCAGTGTGGTCTCTCTCTGGAGCACACGCTTGCCTTTCTTCCCTCTGACGTGTGCCTCCTTAGTTTTGTCTCCTGAACTCTAAGAGTCTCCACGAGACTTGCAACCAGGGGAGCAGCAGGCAGCGGCAGCTTGTCCCAGGCCAAACCCCTGAACCTGTGTCCAAGGCCCCCTTTAAACAGACACATCCCCACCTTGGCTCACTTCTGCCACTGTGGCTTTTACTTCTCAGTGAGTCCACACAGCCCAGCCTGGCCCACTTCTTTCCCAAAATGTTTCCAGAGAGCCAAAGCAGAGCACTGTCCCGGCTCTCTTCCGCTGCTCCTTCTATCCTACGCTCTTTGTTTCACTGTCCCCAACTATAATAAATAAATCTGCTCTCAAAATCACTTGAATGCTTATTGTGAAATCTTTCCTGCACGAAGTCAAGAACCCACACACTACCAGCCAGCCCAAGGCAGACCTGCTTTGGGCCAGGTTCCTTTCTGGTGACATGTCCACCAGCAGACAGACAGACACCATACACACACATAAAATCAAGAATAGTTCTATATAGCAGCAATAATCACAAAGAAAATACTATCAAAACATTCACAACAGCTGCATCAACCATGAGCGATTTAATTGAAGACTGAGCAGTGGAATGCTGACTATAACATACAACACGAGGCACCGCCCTGAGACAGACCTTACTACAGGGTCCCCCAACCCCCTCGGTAGGCTTCACAGTTTGTGCTTTCATCCCACCCAGCAAATGGAGCCAGGCCTCAGCCACTGCTCTCGGGCAGCTGAGTGCAGACCAGCGGCCTCCTCTTCCATTATCCCACCCGCTCTCTAATGCGTCTGAACCACAAAATGGGCCCTTGCTTCTTTCCTATCCCAGCTCCATCTTCATAAACTGTAACAGACAGGAGTCCCCACGGGGGCAAAGTATTTCTTTCCAGATAATTTTAAAGGCAATGGGAAAAAATGACTATGTGCTAATGGAGCTTCTAGGGCTGAAACAAGGGTCTGCAGATGTGATGACTAGCCAGCCACATAGACCGGTCTGATTGGTTATGCCAGACAGACAACATACGTACACATTTATAACGTGTGTGAAGGCAGTAAGAAGTGCTGTCTTTATCTAGAGTTGGGATCAAGGCTCCTTCCACTAGACCAGTGGTCGGCAAACTCATTAGTCAACAGAGCCAAATATCAACAGTACGACGATAGAAATTTCTTTTGAGAGCCGAAAACTGACTTCCGCGCATGGGCCACGAAGTTTCAATCGCACTTGTACGTGCACGCTCGCACGTGGTATTTTGTGGAAGAGCCACACTCAGGGGCCAAAGAGCCGCATGTGGCTTGCAAGCCGCCATTTGCCAACCACTGCACTATATTAAGCTGGGCCGTTAGCCCTTTTTAGGACTATCCCAGATTCAGTGAAATTTCCAACTTTCTGAAATATTTTCTCTCACAGACTCTACGCTAGTCTCCAAAACTTGACTGAAAGGAAAAGAAAAATACCAAAATTAAAGTTACAATTTAAGAGTTGAGGCTGGCCGGTGTGGCTCAATGGTTGGGTGTTGACGCATACACTGAAGATGTCACTGGTTCAGTTCCCAGTCAGGACACGTCCCCAACAGGGGGCATGCAGAAGGCGACCAACTGATATTGATGTTTCTCTCCCTCTCCCCTCGTCTCTAAAATCAAAAACATTTTTTAAACATATTTTTATTGATTTCAGAGAGGAAGGGGGATAGTAACATAAATGAAGAGAGAGAATCATTGATTGGCTGCTTCCTGCACGCCCTTCACTGGGGATCTAGCCTACAACCTGGGCATGTGCCCTTGACTGGAATCGACCCTGGGACCCTTCAGTCCACAGGCCGACACTCTATCCACTGAGCCAAACTGGCTAGGGCAAAAAAAAACCAAAACCCATTTTTCTTAAAAAGAGTTGATTATGAGGAGAAAAACAGGGTATTGTTTATAATCCCATAACTGGGGAAGAAGTTTCAGGGAGAAAATCAGAAGAGGCAAGAGCACAAAACCACGCCTTCGTCCTCGCCTGTTCTTTTTTTTTTTTTTTTTTTTTTAATATATTTTATTGATTTTTGTACAGAGAGGAAGGGAGAGAGATAGAGAGTTAGAAACATCAATGAGAGAGTGTCATGGATCAGCTGCCACTTGCACACTCCTCACTGGGGATATGCCCGCAACCAAGGTACATGCCCTTGACTGGAATCGAACCCGGGGCCCTTCAGTCCCCAAGCCGACGCTCTATCCATTGAGCCAAACCGGTCCCGGCCTCGCCTGTTCTTGGCATTGTACTGTAACACCAGCACACACCCAAGAGGGGTCTAGAAGGGTCAAAGCACTGAAATGTCATTTGAAATTTGCCCAGGGCCAGTTATTAGGAGTACCTGGACCTTAGCCAGCCAGAACTTTCTAGGGAAGCAAAAAAGTTAGGTTTAAATTCTGAGAGGTCCATCCTGTTCTCGGGAGCAGAGCGGAGGAGGGAGGTAGCAGTCAGTGGCTTTTTATGTTCCTTTGAACTCTGTCGATTTCTGCTGGTTTGGGCGAAGAAGAATATGCTGGAGGATATGCCCTCCTTACCCTCATCTTTAAGCCACGAGAAAGATCTATCACATGCCGAGGTAACTTTTAAGGGCTTCTGAGACAGCTTTAACACAGCTCTGGGCTGGGACAAAAAGCCTCAGAGAAACCATAAAACACAATCCAGAGGGCACCATTACATTGTCTTGTTCTGGGAATTCCGATGTCAGACAAAACCACACCTCATGAATACGTAAGCGAGCTCTTTCTGAGCCATCTCACATCTAACAAAGACCGAGCTCGGAGCGTGAGCCTCGTTCTGGGGAAGACGGAGGAGTGGCCGAGCCAACCAGGCAAGCGCTTCATCTCTGACAGCGAGCGGGGGAGTCCACAGTGGAAAACAGATCTTGTTTGCAGTGGTCTCATCTGAAAGGCTATGCAGCAAATACTCTACCAAAAGGCATCAGCCCAGGTGGTTCGAATAGCTGGCGGCACCTGAACTTCGGGCTGTACGTTCTCTAAAGACTTCAGGACAAGGACCAGAATCCAGACTCGGAGACAAAGAGTCTCTGAAGATATTTGGCCTGGAGCCGCCATCTCTTATGACTATTTCCTGTGCGGCTGTAAAAGTTAATGGGATGAAGCCTTCACTATCAGCAGAGAGAAGGATCCAGCGGGACTCTGCAAAGTAAAATGCACACGTGGGCAATTTAGGACATTTCATCTTATTCTACGAGGAAAACAACGAATACGACTTTTTGAGGGGACCAATTCAGTAGTTGATAATCTTAAACCTGATCATCACAAGACTTTGCAGAGAATGAGGAGACGGAAGGATGTTGGGGGGGGGGGGGGGAGGGTGTCTGATAATATGGCAGGAAGAGGAAGGTGAGACTTAGGCAGAGCTAAAGGTCATACATTTTTCACTCAGGCTGGGCATTTATTACTCAGTGGTATGCAAATGGGCTTCTGCCTGCACACACAATAGGGGCTGTGTGTGGAGTGTCCCCACCTTATGCTCTTAGTTTCTCCCGAAAATATGTGAGGTTGGCAACAGCCACTCTTATGGAGGAACCTTCTTTACTCTTTTTTTTTTATTATTGATTTCAGAGAGGTAGAGAGAAATAGAAACATCACTGATGAGAGAGAATCATTGATTGGCTGCTTTATGCACACCCCCTACTCGGGGTCAGGCCTGCAACCTAGGCATGTGCCCTTGACCGGAATCGAACCTGGGACCCTCCAGTCCACAGGCTGAAGCTCCATCCACTGAGCCAAACCAGCCAGGCCCTTCTTTACTCTTTAGATCCATATCAACCTCTGAACACAAAGGAGGCAAAAAGGACAGAGCTAGACTAGAATGGCCAGAACATCCTGAATGGCTTGTTCCAGGATAGCCGAGGGCCATCAGCATGCCTGGACCTTTTCTGGCTCTTTCAAGACTATGGTGTCGTAACCTTTTGACCCTGTAATTTCACTTCTGAAAATCCATACTTTCCAAAAACAACACGTAAAATAGAGAGGTTTTTATTAATGTTATTTATAATGGGCCACCACTGGAACCCACTGAAATATCAAAGAAAATATGGCAGCCCAGACAATGTGGCTCAGTGGTTAAGTGTCGACCTATAAGCCTGGAGGTCACAGTTCAATTCCTGGTCAGGGCACATGCCCAGGTTGCAGGCTTGATCTGATTCCCAGTTAGGGGCCGTGTAGGAGGCAGCCTATCAATGATTCTCTCTTATTATTGATGTTGCTCTCTCTCCATCTCCCTTCCTCTCTGAAATTAATAAAAACATATTTTTAAAAAAGAAAAAATATATAGCCCTAGCTGGTTTGGCTTAGTGGATAGAGCATCAGCCTGAGGACTGAAGGCTTCCGGGTTCGATTCCAGACAAGCGCCTAAGAAAACCACGACCTGATGGAACGTGGGCATGACTCAGTCCCTCTGCATCCAGAAGTGTCCCTCATGTCCATATGTGTGCTGCACATTGAAACAACCCCTTTCAGCCCTAACTGGTTTGGCTCAGTGGATAGAGCCTCGGCCTGCAGACTGAAAGGTCCCAGGTTCGATTCCAGTCAAGGGCATGTACCTGGGTTGCGGGCACATCCCCAGTGGGGGATGTGCAGAAGGCAGCTGATCAATGTTTCTCTCTCATCGATGTTTCTAACTCTCTCTCCCTCTCCCTTCCTCTCTGTAAAAAAAAAAAAATATATATATATATATATATATATATATATATATATATATATTTTAAAAAATAAAAAATAAAACAACCCCTTTCAGAAATATTCTGTAATGTTGCTATGATCTTTATGTTCTAGTGCAAAAGGTATTATGAGGTTTTTTATGTCATTTCCTTGCAGTTGTTATACAGGGTGGGACAAGAGTAGGTTTATAGCTATGATTACTCACACAGTTTATTCTTGCATTATTACTTATTAATTACTGCATTATTTTCAATACGACCAACTGAAAACCTACTTTTGCCCCACCCTGTGTATGGCTTGGTAACTTTCTTCTAGCCTTTCATGTGCACAGATAGGTCCTTACGGGCAGAACACATACATGTGTCTGGTGTAATAGACCTGGGTATACGGCAGACAATTGATAATAGTTGTTAATTATCTAGTGAATCACGGAATGACCGGCACACATCATTTCCATTACCAGTGAAAGTAACAAAGCAGATGGTGGGAGGCGGGGTGCTGGGAAGGGTGAATTTCTGGACTTTACCTACCATGTAGCATTTCAATAAGGGCGAGGCCGAAAGCCTGCTGCACTGCACTGAGCCTGAGTTTGCCATTGCAGAGAAGCACGTCTCTTTTTTCAACAACGGATTCTACAGAATGTTTCTTCAAATGCAAAAAAAAAAAAAAAAAAAAAAAAAAAGTTGTTAAGCCAATTGCAGAAGCAATGGAGTTAACAATTCTTAAGAATAGAAAGTGTAAATAGTTTTTTTAAATCCTTATCTAGTACCACTATCAATTAGACATCAGTTTTATATAAGGAGCTTTTTGCTCTATTATTTAACACAACTAAAGGGTCAGAACAAAATATAACCCCTAATTTACTTTTCCTAGAACTTTACCACTAGAAGCTGGCTGTCCTAGAATGTGACTAATAACTAATAACTATCGATCATGGACAGCAGCCTAAGAGGCACAATCTGAAGGTGAGGAACAGGTGTCTGGCTATTTTAGGTATAAATTTAAAACACTCAACGCTCTCTTTATTGGGGGGGGGAAATGCCAAGAGAGACTGCCCTAAGGATTGGCACAAGTAAATAAACTAGTCAAAATTCATTTCGTTTAGAAAAAGTACAAATAAAGCCTTAACCAGTTTGGCTCAGTGGATAGAGCATCGACCTGTGGACTCAAGGGTCCCAGGTTCGATTCCAGTCAAGGGCATGTACCTTAGTTGTAGGCACATCCCCAGTAGGGGGTGTGCAGGAGGCAGCTGATTGATGTTTCTCTCTCATTGATGTTTCTAGCTCTCTATCTCTCTCCCTTCCTCTCTGTATAAAATCAATAAAATATATATATTTTTAAAAATCAATAAAATATATTTTTTAAAAACCCCACAAACTCTTAGCCTTTAAAGAAAGTTTAAAAAATATTGCAAGAAAATCTAGACATTACATAAAAACTTCTTGTAAACTGCTAACTCAATAAGAAAAAAATAAGCAATCGGTAACTCATTTATTGCTCCAGAACATAAAGACATATGTACTCAAATTCACTAATGTTATAGTAAAGGAAAAAAGAAATTAATAAAAGTGAAATACTATTTCACATTCATGAGGATGTGAGGAAAAGGTTGCTGGTGAGCATGTAATGAGACACTGTTAAGTAAAAATCTTTGAAAGGCCTTTGATATGCAAAAGATAATAACTCACAATGTTAATATTAAATATTCCTTCAAAAAAAAATAAAAACTCAAAAAAAATAAAAAATAAATAAATAAATAAATAAAAATCTTTGAAAGGCAATTCTGGCAAATTTTTTTTTAAAGTAGAAACATATATTCAAATTGCATACTTGCTTCTGGGAACCAACCCAATACCAATAAAAGTAGGAAAACAAGTGGATACAAACAGGAATATTATTGTAGCACTATGCAACAGAAAACAAAGTGAATGTCCGTCAACAGGGAACGATTGAATAAACAGCATACTCTCAGAATGAAGTAAAGAGTACAGCATATACCCTATTTCTATAAAACAAAAACCACCCCGAACCTGTATGTCGCTTGTACCTATGTATCTACTTAGGCAAAGATCTGTGTAAGATTGTGAGTATGAATTTCACTATGGAAGGATCCACATTAAGCTGCTTGTTAAATGGGGAGGAGCAGAGGTCAGTTCCATAGAAAGGAAAGTGTCCATGATAAAGAGACAGGATGCCGTTTATGTAATGCATACATGGATGCATTAACATTCTTAAAATAAATATAACCTTTATGCATGCATAAATAGATGCATTAACATTCTTAAAATAAATATAACCTTTCTTATAAATGGAAGAGTGTCTGCATGCATAAGATAAGTTTCACAATGAAATAGCACAACTAAAAAAATTTTTCTTCTTCTAAATATAAATTGACAGACTAAGTGCAATCATTCATGTTTCACACCATGCCCATGATAAAAATCAGTGTATCCTAGTATGTGTGTCCATGTGGTTGGCAGGCAACCAACCCTGTAAAGGTGTAACAGCTTGCCTGTAATATAACAGCCCAGTTCAATTTAAATACCATCTTTTGCAACCATTTTTCTGGCAGTGGCTCCTGGCGGCAGGAGCTTTTATGTACAGTGGTAGCTCCTTAAGGAGAGATTACCTGGTAAGAGATGTGGACATAAGGCAGATCCTGAGAGAGTGGATACACCGGAGAGGACTTCTCTCCATTCTGTAGGAAGTCTGTGAGTTCAGAGAGACAGCGCTGTACTTCAATCAGTTTCCTAGATAAAGTTTCCAGTCCCTTAGAGAGCTGGCGAGTTTCCTTTTCCCGTTGTAAGTTCTTTCCTGGAGGGAAATTGAGAGGGTCCGGGGTGCAGGTGTAGTCTGGTATGCTGCTGGGTTTGGGCAGTGTCGCTGACCCATTAACAGGCTCAGCATCTGGAGTCTCCAGGGCGATGGAGTCATCACAGACAGTGGATGGAGGACTTTTGATTTCTTTAATAAGAGTAATTCCAGGCCTTCCACTTTGACTACTGCTAGTAGCTGTTAAGGAGAGTCCTCTGTTTTGGTGACAAACATCTGGCGAAAGACTTTCAATTAGCTTTTTCCTCTCTGCTTTATTTAACAGAGCGCTGAAGGTAGAGCAGCCACTCTGGTCTTCCCTCACCGGAAATTCAACTTTCAGCCTTACTTCTCTAACAACCAAGCGAATGATATACTCATCGGACTTTGAAGAAGGAAGAAATGTCGAATCAGTGGATTTTTGTTTTCCTACCAAGATTAATAATAATTTATCTGTCAAGAAACATAAGCCTTTTGGTCTCTCACCACTCTCTAATTGAATTTGCTGGATGTTTGGCATAAGCGATGGAACGACAGAATAGATAAAAATTATATTACAAGTATTGGAAGCCACTGCCACAACCTTTGCTTCCGGATTAAATGCTATTAGATCGGGAACCAGAATGCCCGGAATGGTGACTTTTTTGGTCTGGGTAACCTCTTTCTCGAAGGTCACAAGAATCAAATGTGAAGAATCCAGATCGGTTCCTGCCAAGCGATCCTTTTTTCTCAGACAAATAAGGGCACTGCTCTCAGACTCGGATCTGTTGAAACGTATGTGAGTTAGATCCAGAGGATCTGAACCGGGAGAAGAAAAGGGAGAAACTGCTGTGTCGGAATTTGTCCCTTTAGCCACAGAGGGCATCTCACCAATAACCGGCGAGGTATACAGACAAGTGTCTTCACTGCCAGGTGGACCGCCAACTGTTTCAGATGCTTTTAAGCTACAAATCTTCCCTATTGGGAGTTCAGTGGCTATGACGACCTGGGAGCCCACCGTGGCCCCGATGGCGCGCACGGCGCTGTGCACGTCAAACACGGGGCAGGAGGAGCACCTCTGAAGAGTCTTCTGAGCACCGTCCCAGATGTAAGAGTGCAGGCTACTGCCCACCGCCACCACCAGCCTCCGGCCATCCCGGGCCCAGCACGCACAGTGAATGAGGCCCTGGGTGCCGCTGTCCACTCTCACTCGGGAACTGTGACAGTGAAGGTCATGGACAGAGACATGCTGTGCGGTCAGCACGGTCAGAACCGCACTTTCTGGGTGCCACACACAGCCTTGGGGGAGGACGGCGTGTGATTCTCTGATCTCACAGGTCCGAGACATGGATGGCTTGCTGGTTTCCACAGTACTGGGACACAGCTGCCACACGGTGACATGCTGCTTATGCTGGACAGCGAGCAGAGGGGGCGTGTCAGCTGCGCCAGGTGGGGCCCACGACACCCCATGCACGTGCTCAAACTGTCCAATGACCTTCGAGTCCCCAAACTTGACCTCTCCGCTCTGAAGCCGTACATCGGTCAGGATTATCTGCCTCCCATCGGTCCAGGTAAGGCCGTGAACTGGGTGGACTGCTTGATACAAGGCATTCAGCCCACTCCTGAAGAGTTTTCCTTTTCCCAACTCCATCCTTTCTGATAAAGGTTATCTGAAATAATTAAAAAGAAAAGCTACATCCTGAGACTGTAATCAGAGAAACCCAGAATACAGGACAACTGGCTTAGAAGTTTCACAAGTCAGTATTGTGAGAGGATAAAAGGTTAGGAGGAACCCTGGCCGGTTTGGCTCAGTGGATAGAGCATTGGCCTGCTGACTGAAGGGTCCCAGGTTCAATTCCAGTCAAGGGCATGATCCCCAGTAGGGGGCATGCAGGAGGCAGCCAATCAATGATTCTCTCTCATCATTGATGTTTCTATCTTCCTCTCTCCTTCTCCTTTCCTTTCTGAAAACTATATATATTTGTAGAACTGGTGAAATTAGAATATGGAATGGATATTAGATAATATTGTAGAGTTAGTAATTTTCTTAAGTGTGACCACTGTCTTGTGGTCATGTAGAAAAATGTCTTTATTGTTAAGATAATGTATGTTGAAGTATTTGGGAGAAAGTGTCATAATGCCTACAACTTTCTTTCAAATGCTTTAGAAAACAAACAACCCCCCCCAAAATATATCAAAAAACATTATTTGAGTGTGTATATATGGAGAGAGTGTGCTAAAGCAAAGGTAGCAAAATGTTAATAATTGTTGAATTCAGATTTGAGGAAATTGTGTCAGTATTCATGGGATTTTCAACTTTTAAGCTAGAAAAGTTTCAAATTAAAAAATTGAGAAAAGTCTTCATTATCATTGAATTTCTATTCTCCTTTTACTGCCAACACAATAAATAACTGATATTCACAACTCTGACTTTATTAGCACTTATTTCCTCAACTCACTTATACAGAAATGACATTCAAAAGTCTCTATTGCTATTTCTACTTCATAATTTCCAAAAAGCACTTAATTTCCAGGATATTTTCACATTCCGGATTGCATTTGTTTGCAACAATCCTTCACAATAATGTAGACTAGGGTAGGCAAGTATTACTTTCAAACTTTTCATTCTTAAGGGATTTCCCCCCAGACATTTGTATGACTAAAGTACATGCTCACTGCAATGAAATTCAAGCAAACCAGAGGTGTCTAAAGTAAAACAAAATGTTTCCTCCAACTCCTCTTTACCACCACCACCACCCCATCCTCCAAATATTAAGTCCTTGAAAAAAAGCACTGTTAACAATTTGGTGTGATAGTCTTTGAATCTGTTAAAGCAATCCTATATAATAAAAGGGTAATATGCAAATAGACCGAACGGCAGAACAACTGAACAAAGAGTAGTATGCTAATGATATGCTAGGGCTGCTCAACCACTCGCTATGACATGCACTGACCACCAGGGGGGCAGATGCTCAGACAGGTAGGTTAGCTTGCTGCTGGGGTCTGGCTGATCAGGACTGAGCAAGATGGGCCAGACACACCCTGTAGCCCTCCCACAGTCCCTCCCCAGACCAATCACGTACCAGGGGGGTCCCTCAACCTGGCTTGTGTCCTCTTGCGATCCAGGACCCTCAGGGGATGTCGGAGAGCAGGTTTTAGCCTGATCCCGCAGGCTATTCCCCTTGGGAGGGTGCCAAACTCAAGGATCATGGCTGGCGAGAGAACGGGAGCCTTTCAGATCGGGACTGATTGGGTGACTGGGTGCAAGCCCGTGTCAGGCACAGTGGGGCCAGGATGAGCAGGAGTGCAGGTAGGAGCGGCAGGTGGTGTTGGGACTGTGGATTTTGTCCGATCCCTGCAGGCCACCCAGAGGGACCCCAGCCATGCATAAATTTGTGCACTGGGCCTCTAGTATATGTATATTTCTTTATACATATATATGATTTTATATGTGCTACCTTTTTTAAATCCTTTAGAGAGAGGGGAAGCAACAAGGAGAGGAGAGAGGAAGAGGAGAGAGGAGAGAAACATTTATGTGAGAGGAACATCAATTGCCTTCTGTACCCGCAATCTAAGTATGTGCAACCTTTTGGTGCACGAGACCACTCCAACCAAAGGAGCCACATCGTCCAGGACTAAATTTTTTCTTTTGGACAAAAATGGGGCAAAAGTCAGAGTTCCCGGGTATTAACAACAGAAACCACTCTGGTTAACTTAAGCGAAAAATAATAATAAAACTAAATAAAAAATAAGCTCAAGAACCAGGCTCAGAGAACAGACTGCAGGGCACAATGAACCTCTGCTGCCCCTCTCTCTAGTCAGCTGAGAATCAATGTCAGTGCTCCTTCACCTGATGGCAATGGCTTACAATTCACAACGGGGAGAGGCCTCCCACAAGTTGAGCTCAGTTCACATACCCTGTGCTCTAGCAACCAGGAGGGGGAGAGGGTTTCCCCACAAAAAGCCAAGAGGCCCAATGTTGAAATGACCTTCAGGTCTCCAAACATTTGGTATCTTGTAAAACATTTACATTCCCCCCACCACTCCCAGGTGCGTTGTCTTTGCCTCTTTCTCTCTCCTAAGCTCCAAGGGCCCTTTCCTTTTTGCCTCTGTAACTTGTTTCCTGAGCTCAGACAGCCCAGCTGGCTCTCTTTTTATACCTGTTACTTTCTAAACTAACTTTCGCTTGTGCTGGGCGGGGGGGAATTCACATACTGCAAAGGTATATTCACACACACACAAAAAAAAAATCCATCCATGCCGAGACCGGTTTGGCTCAATGGATAGAGCGTCGGCTTGGGGACTGAAGGGACCCGGGTTCGATTCCGGTCAAGGGCATGTGCCTTAGTTGCGGGCACATCCCCAGTAGGGGGTGTGCAAGAGGCAGCTGATCGATGACTCTCTCTCATCGATGTTTCTAGCTCTCTATCTCCTCCCTTCCTCTCTGTACAAAATCAATAAAATATATTAAAAAAAAAAAAAAATCCATCCAAAGAAGATTATGATTACATACCTCCAGACTTTTCCATGCCGTTGTGGTTCAACTTTTACAGCCATACCGTGCAATTTTGTATTGCACTTAGTTTTTGTTTGTTTTTTTTCACTTAACATTGTATATTAGCATCTCCCCATATTATTTAAGGGTTTTGTGAATTATTTTTTCCCAAAGATCAATAGATATTTAATGTGTTGTTGAACCCCAGTAAAAAAATAAAATAAAGTAAAAATGGAAGCATTCAGTTTGGAAAACTAATTGCTAAAAAATTATCATATGTACAGGGTGTTCCCAAAATGTGTACATACTTTAACAGCTGAGAGTTGTAGATTCTATTACACTTTGAAAATGAAATGTATTCTGTCTTTATTCAAAGTATGTATGCATTTTGGGGGGATGAATTGTTTTAACAGGCCCCTTAATATTCACTCAGTGAAGTTGCATCACTTTGCTCATTAGCCCATTATAAACAACGCTTTAGGCAGATCTTTATGCATAAAGCCTTTTCTCCTTCTGGATGGTTACTTCAGGGGGCAGATTCCCTGAAATGTCACTCATGAGTCACAGGGGAGATATATTTATATTCACCCCTTTAAACCCACCCGCGGCTCCCCCGCATCCACTAACCATCCTTCCCACAGCGTCCGCACAGCCGAGCGTCTTTCACCCCCTCCCCCAGGGCCGGCCCCTCCACCATCCATCCCGCCCACCCACAGGCTCCCCACACCCGCCCGGCCGGGCAACCGTGGAAACAAACACCTTTGGACTCACTGCCCCGCAGTAATAAACCAGTTTCCCCGGGGCCGCCCCGACTCACCCAACGCCGCTCCAAAGTCCACAGCCGGTACCGGAAGCACCGCCTCCAAGGCCTCTGATAGGTGAGATGGGCGGGAATACTGCCAGCCTATTGGTTGTTACGTGCGTCACGTTAGGAGAGGGTCTTTCCACGGACCAATAAGCTCTGGCTTTGCCGCACAGATCTCTGGGAGTTGTAGTCCACGTGAAACTCCCGACTGTGAGCCTCACGCAATTTCTCTCTCCTCTCTCGAGGTTTAATTCCTTTCTCCACTTTTATCGGTTTTCTTAGTCTAAGAAGGAGTCCAGGAGCCCTAGAGTCAATACGGTTTCTTAAGTTTTTGAGGGGAGATGAGGAATCAGGGATGGGAAGGGGTTGAGGATCTATTTAACATACAAAATTTCACCTGAAAACTGTTGTGGGTGTTTTGTTGTTTATTGTTTTTTTTAATGTTCTTATCTGTACACAAAATATTGTGCATTCCATTGAAGCCACTTCACTGACCTGTTCGTTACACACCCCTGTTCTATACGTACCCCAAAGCGTCTGCCCATGGCCATAGCTCATGGACTAATTTGTCAACCAGGCTTTTCTAGACCGAGTTACCCCCCTGGGAGGCCCTGGGCCACACCTGGGAGCAGCCAGGGGGGCATTTCAGATCCTGACCCTCATAGTACAGCTGACCATCATCTTTCTTGAACAACAGCCAATCCTCTTTCAACAAGGCTGAAAGCCTGGAGTCTCCTAGGCAACCACCCGGAAAAAGGGGGAAAGAACATCTCTAGGGCCTAGTCCGGACACTTTTCTCTTCCTAGGCCAGCACCACGGGTTAGAATCAGACCTTCACATCATTGAACAACGCAGCGACGAGTTAGGAACAAAAACTCGCAGTCCCATTCGTTCTTTGAGCCAATGCATGCAGATGATTGCTTCCCAAAATCTCCATCGACTCCTGGGCCTCTTTTGGGCGGCGGAGGAGGAACCCAAGGTCGACCTCATGCATTCATCCCACAGCGCGGATCGCTCCACGCCCTGTGTCCCTACCCACGCCAGTTTTAGTTTCTCAAGGACAGCAATGATGGTCTTCATTGCGATGGTCTCCCAGGAGGCAGCTCTTTGGCTTGAAAGGTGGGAATCCACCTGTGCGTGGGGCAGAGCTCCCTGGGATGGTGAGTAGGAACTTAGAGGGGTGGAGAAGGGTCCGCAATGAACCTTCCTCCCACCCCACCCCGCCCCACTGCAGCTTGCTCGTGCAGAACCAGGCAGCCCAGCGAGGGCAGGCACCTCTCTGGTCCTTCCAAACGTTCTGAACCCCCATGTCAGTGAGCCCAACTAGTTAGACCTGGTTTAGTTGCCGCCCTTCCCCTAGTCTGTGGCAGCCAGCCGATTGATTCCCAAGAGAGACATCTGGGTGGAACATGGATGAAGGGATGGATGGAGGTACAGGTGAGCGGGGGAATGCGGGGCAGCCTGCACGCCTCCCTCAGCATCCTCCCCGGCTGCGGGTGGGTCCGTGCCCTTAGCCTGGCTGGGCTCCAGAGCCGCGGGTCAGGGTCGCTCCCCCTCCTCCCCGCCCCGCCCCGCCCCGGCCCGGGCGACCCCACCTTTCCCCGCCGCCCCGCCCCGCCGCCCCCTCCCCGCGGCCCCTCCCCGCGCAGGTCCCGCTCCCGCACCTCCTCCGGCTCTGCAGCGGCGGCGGCGGGAGGCGAGGCGGAGCGCCCGCGGCATCGGGAGCCCGAGCCGAGCCGGAGCCGAGCCGGGGTCGGGGCACAGCCAGCGGGGACCCTCGGAGGCGGGACCCGTGGGACCGCGATGGGCGTGGAGATCGAGACCATCTCGCCGGGAGACGGTACCGGGCGGCGGAGCCGGGGGAGAGGACGGGTCCCGGGCGGGGCCGGGCGGGCGGGGGGAGGTGGGTCTGATTCGGAGGCGGGTGGAGGGCGCCCGCACATGGGGAGGCCTAGGATGGGGCCCGGGAGGAGACTCCGGGCGGGATCGTGGGAGGTTTGAGAGCCGGTGCTTGCTGTCCTCCGAGCCGGCTAACGGGGGCGGGGGGGCGGCGGGAGGCGGGGGTCTGGGGCCGCCGCCGCCCGGAGGCCGCAGCTGCAGCCGCTCGGTTATCCGCTGCCGCTGATTTCCCAGGGTCAGGTGTTAGCCCTGGAAACAGGGGGGAAGGGCATGCTTTTGGGGTCTCTTCTGCCCTGGAAACCCCCTGCTAAGCGCCCCGTGCCCGGCCTGCGGCGGGGCGGCGGGGGAGGCGGGACGCGGCCAGTCTGGGGAGGGATTGCCCTCCCGCCTCTGCATCTCCCCCCTGCATCCTCCCCGCCCCGCTCAGCACCCCGCCAGCCTGGCCGCTCCCGTGACTTTCAGTCTCGCCTGCAAGCCGATGGCCTTCCAGTGGAAGGCTCCAGCCCGACCTTCCATCGGGGCTCCCGCGGTCCGTGTGTCCCGCTGCGGCTGCACCGCCGCCTGGATGTCCCACCGGCCCTCCTGGCCCGCGAGCCCCAAACGGAATTTGCTCGCCTCCCCGATCTCTGCGCCCCGCCTCTGGGATGAGCGCTGCAGACCCAAGCCCCACACACGCCAGGCGTCAGTCTTGAGTATTGGGTCTGCATGGGCAAAGAAGAGCCAGCTGGCGGTTTTTTCACCAAAACTTAATTCGGACTGGAGCCCCCGTTTCCGCAGGATCTGACGGGCACACTTCATGTCAGGCACTACTGACACCCACCCCAGAAAACCCGTGGTCCTCAGTCCCAGCTCGTCCACACCGGACCAGGTGCTGCATCCTGAGATGCATGTCCCTGAGGCCTGGGCGCCTCCAGGCATCGCCACTCAGCTCTGCTGGGCACTGGAGACCTAGCCTCCTTCCCCGGCTGCGTTTTCTCTCCTTACCCCCCCTCTGGCCAGTGACAGGGAGGATGAGAGTTTTAGGGAACGCCTGGAGGAGCTCTGGCTTTCTGCTTTCAGCCTGTTTTAAACCCTAAGTTTGGCTCAGTGGATAGAGTATCAGCCTGTGGCCTGAAGGAAGGGTCCTGGCTTCGACTGCGGTCAAGGGCATGTACCTCGGTTGCAGCCTGGATCCCCAGGCCTGGTCAGGGTGCATGCAGGAGGCAACCAGGTTTCTCTCTCTCTCTCTCTCTCTCTCTCTGTGTGTGTCTCTTCCCCCTCCTTCCACGCCATCTAACAATCAATTGGGAAGGGGGTGGGGAGGGAACCAAATAAATGGGGAAAATTAAGAACAACAAAAGATAAGTAAAACCCCAAGTCTAGGAAGCACAAAAAGGCCAGACAACCATACTGTATGTTACCCAGCAGGGGGTTCATATTTCATATTCAAATTCATATTTCAACACACATGCCTACGTGCTAGGACACCTATCTTGATTAAGCCTCACACCAAGTTCTGTCAGTCCTTCTGCTGACTGTCTCCAGGCTCTTTCCCCTCCTTGGTTCAGGCTTCTGTCATCTCTCACCGGATTCCTGCTCAACCTCTAAACTGCTGCTCTCCCCACTCCAGGCCCTCTCCCCTGCCTCCCATCTGCCTGTCCGCCTCACTCAACTCATTTCCTACACCGCAGCCTTTTTGACCTATGTCCCTCCCCAGGCAGAAAATATTCTAGTGAAACTTCCATCTCCTGCTCCAGGCAGATGATGAGAAAACCTATTCTTTTTCTTTTTTTTTTTAAATTTACCTTTTCCTTTTTAAAATAAAATCTTCATCGAGGCCCTAACTGGTTTGGCTCAGTGGATAGAGCGTCGGCCTAGGGACTGAAAGGTCTCAGGTTCGATTCCGGTCAAGGGCATGTACCTTGGTTGTGGGCACATCCCCAGTAGGAAGTGTGCAAGAGGCAGCTGATTGATGCTTCTCTCTCTTTGATGTCTCTAACTCTCTATCCCTCTCCCTTCCTCTCTGTCAAAAAATCAATAAAGTATATTTAAAAAAAAAAATCTTCATTCAGGATATGTTTATTGATTTTGAGAAAGAGAGGAAGAATGAGAGGGAGAGAGAAACATCAATGTGAGAGAGAAACATTGATCGGTTGCCTCTCATACATGCCCGGATGGGAGATCAAACCTGAAACCCTTGGTGCACAAGGCGACGCTCCAACCAACTGTGCCATTGGCCAGGGCGAGATAACCTATTCTTACCTTCCCTAGAAGAGCATAATCTCTCATTACCAGTCCCTACCCCCACTACCATTTTTTCCCTCCAGCTTTAGCAAGCTGTCTAGAAGTTGTTAAACACACACCAGTTATTCAGCAAATATTTGTTGAATGTGTACTGTGCTCTGGGCCCTAGGGTTACAGCAATGAACCAGACAGGACTCCCATGATGCTTGCTAGGCCTTTGAACGTGCGGTTCAGTCTTCCCAGGTTATTTCCCTTTATTCCCTCTGGCAAACTACCCGTCTTTTAAGACCCCAGTCTAACCATTATCTTCTCCCTGGTGCTTTCCCTGACACCCAGTCCGCTGCTCCCCGCCATGGCTTCCCATGGAGTCCTTTAGGTTGGCTCAGTCGCTAGCCCTCCCAAGCCATTGTTATCCAGCCTTCCGGCTTTCAATTCCACCCACATCGATGCCTCCAGTGAAGACTGTCCGTCTGCCCACTTGCAATATAAGCTAAGATGTCTAATAGGCATGGCAAGATTGCCACCCACATACCTGGGTTGCAGGCTTGGTCTCAGGTGGGGGGTGTGCAGAGAGCAGCTGATCAAGGATTCTCTGATGTTTCTATCTCCCTCTCCCTTTATCCCTGGAATCAATTAAAAAATATTTTTAAAAAGATTGCCACCCTCATAAATCTGTCCTCCCAGTCTTCCCCATCTAGGAAATCTATTCTACCACCCACCTAGCTGCCCAACCTGAAGACCCAAGCATTGTGCTTGACTTCTCTTTCTCCCTCATCCTAAATCCCGACTCCCCTCCCTGTCAGCGCCGCTTCTAGAATATATCTATCTCTTTGGCTCCCTTCTCCGCTGCCACCACATTAATTCAGGCCATCATTGATTTCCTGTCTGGATCACGGCAACAGGCGCCTGATCGTCTGTCCTGTGCACAGCAGCCAGAGTGATCTTATAAAATCTTAATTCAGATTAGGTCATTCTTGCCTACAACCCTCCAGTGGCTTTCTGTTGCACTTAGAATTAAACCCAGCTCTGCACGCTCTGGCACAGTCTGGCTCCTCTCCTTTCCTCCTCCTGCCCTTCTTCCCAGTTCCTGGCCTCCTTCCTGTTCTGCAAATGCACCGGTCCTCTCCTGCCTCTGGCTGGTACACTTACTGAGCCTTCTTCCTTCAGTGGTTTCCCAACATGTGCTCATCCTCAGGTCTCGGCTCTCGGAGGCCATTCTGGGTCACCTGTTCTGTCTCTCTTTAATTCATCTTTAGAGAACGTATCACAATCTCTAATGACCTTGTTTATTTGAGGATTGTTAGTCCCCCTCCAAGAAGAGTGGGGATCGTGCCTATGTGGTTTACTGCTGTAATCCCCACACCGGGTCCAGGCGTTCGGTAAATATTTGTGAGTGACTGTGTTTATTCATCTTTGATCACAGTCATCACCCTGCCTCAGAATCGACTTATGTGTCTGTTTCCCTAACTTCCTCATGAGTTCATACATTGCTCTGTTTCTGGAATCTAACCCAGGCCTGGCAGATAGTAGGCTGCCAGTGAAGGCTTATGGACTCGATGAGGGAAAGTAAAAGGAGCAAAGTCAGGGAAAGAACCAGGAGAGAGTGGAGTTGAGGAACCCAAGGAAATCAAGTTGCAGTCAAGGCCTGAGAGGTGATGTGATGAATCTGGCTTATACAAGGCACAGAGCCAGGGGCATCTTCCTGGTATGGACATTCACACCCGAATGTCCCGGGTGACTTTGTCTACCTTATTTGTTCATGTGCCCTCATGTCTTCTTGCAGGAAGGACATTCCCCAAGAAGGGCCAGACGTGTGTGGTGCACTACACAGGTAGGCCCTGTTTCTCTAGCCCTCATCAGACCTGCCCTTCCCACGGCGGGTCCCTCCTTTAACCCCCCTCCCCAGACATCCTATCCCCTGCATCAGGCCCAAAGCCTAAAGCAACCAAGCCTCCGTCTGACCAGCTACCCCCCACCTCTCCCAGCCAGCCTTGCGGAAATGAGGAAGGGGGCTTGCAAGGCTAACCCCTCCCACTTATACTAGCAGGAGTCATCCGTGGTTCCTCGCCTGTGTGTGGGGAGTGGAGCCCTGGCTCTCCTGGTTCTGTGTGAGACGTGGAAATCCCTGTGCAGCTCGCAGAGCCCTGTCCATCCCCACAGACTCCCTTTTCATCAGATGGTGTTATTAGAGGAGGGTGGCTTCCTCAGAACCTTTTTCCTTTTCTTTTCAATTCAGCCTACTGTTATTGAGCACCTCCTGTGTGCAAAATGCTGTGTTGGGCACTGGGGGTGGGAGAGGGCAGACAAGTCATGCCCGGCCCTGGCGCAGTGTGAGGGCTGGGATGGCAGCATTGCTGTGGGAGCCAGCGGAGGGGCTGCGTCTCTGCTGACCACCCCCCCCCCCTGGGTGATCTGTATCAGAAGGGCAGATGGGCTGTGAACCTTCTAGATCAGTGGTTCCCAACCTTCCTAATGCTGTGACCCTTTCATACATACAGTTCTTCATGCGGTGGTGACCCCCCAACCATAAAATTATTTTTGTTGCTACTCATAACTGTCATTTTGCTTCTGTTATGAATCATAATGTAAATATCTGTGTTTTTCGACCGTCTTAAGCAACCCTGCTAGTGGTTCTCAGCCTGCGGGTCACGACAGGTTGAGAACCGCGGCTGTAGAGCCTAAGACCTTCGGAAAACATTACGATTCACATTTACATTACGATTCATAAAACGAAAATAATGTTCTGGTTGGGGGTCTCCACCGCATGAGGAGCTGTACGAAAGGGTCGCAGCATTAGGAAGGTGGAGAACCACTGCGCTAGATGGAGTTCCCGGAGACTGCTGGCAGGAAGATCACAAGCAGGTCTTTGTTCCAAGGCAGGGGAAGGGGGAGCGCTCTGCTATGTGACCTGCTTCCCAGTGGGGCCAGCCTGTTGACAGCTACTTAGCAGAGAACAAGGTCAGTTAGTTCCTAAGATGTGTGGAGATGGGGCCATTTTTTAGCAGTTCTCCAAGCCAGTGTGAAGAGCAGGTTAATTCTAGATAGATACTGGGGGTATTTTTCTCAACTGCTGTGCTGCGGGTCGCTGACGTCAGTGGCTGGAGCTGTGTTCTATCTCCCAGGGATGTGGCCTAATTACCACGAGTCCTCTGGAGCTTCTGACCTGGGTCATCGATTTATCTGTCCTACACGTTGCAGACGGATCTGTACTTATCCAATTACTGAAACCACAACATCTTTTTGCAAAGACTTTTCACAAACTAGAGAGCAGGCAGCGTGCATTAAACATCAGCTAGGAGTGGCTCTGGTCTGAGGAGGGACTATCTCATCACAGTAGATTATGTGGGACTTTTTGGTAAATATTTTCTATTAAGTATAAATACAGTGGAGAACATAAACCTAAAAGGTACAGCTCCATGAAATTTTTCAAAGTGATCACACTCAGGTAACCACCACACAGATCAACATGTGCACGGAGTCTTCCTTCTGTCTCCTTCCAGTACCACACCGCCCTGAAGATAATCAGTGTCCTGACTTTTGTTCGCATGGATTGGTTTTGCCTGTCATAGAAATGGAACCAGAGTGTATTCTCCTTTGTTATAATCCTCACCTAAGGATATATTTATAGAGAGAGAGAGGGAGAGGGAGAGGGAGAGGGAGAGGGAGAGAGAGAGAGAGAGAGAGAGAAACACATTGATAGGTAGCTTCCCATATGCAGCTCACCAGGTTTCGTATCTGCAACCTATAGTGTACGGGACCACACTCCAACAAACTGAGCTACCTGTTCTGGGCTAGAGTGTGTATTTTTTTATGCTTGCCTTATTTACTCAATATTATGTCTGTGAGATTTATGCAGAATGGTTGTTCTTTTTCTGTTTTTGTACCATTCCTTGCCTCTGACCCATTATATAAATACTAGAAGCTGAGTGCATGAGATTTGTGCACTGCGGGGGAGAGAGGGGAAGATCCCTGTCTGGCCTGCACCCTCTTGCAGTCTGGGAGTCCTCGGAGTATGTCTAACTGACAGGCCCGCTCACGTGCTGCTGTGGAGGAGGGAGAGGCTCCTGCCAGCATGAGCCAGCTTCTGGCTCCACAGGGAGAGCTCTCTGACCACCAGGGCCAGCTCCTGTATTGAATGTCTGCCTCCCCTGGTGGCCAGTGCTCATCATAGCGACCAGTGGTTCCACCATTTGGTCAATTTGCATATTAGCCTTTTATTATATAGACTACACATCCTTTCTATAGTTGATGGCCATTTGGATTGTTTATAGTTTTGGATTATCATGAATAGTGTTGCTTTGAACGAAGATGTCTTCTGATCCACATCTGTACCCATTTTGGCTGAGTATATGCCCAGAAGTGGAATCACCAGGGCACAGAGTTGTGCCCGTTCAGTTAAACAAATAGCTTTCCAAAGTTGTTACAATTTCCACTTCCACCTGCAGTGTTTGAGTGCCAGTTCTCCTGCATCCTCATCAACACTTGATTTTATCAAGTTTTGTTTTGTTTTTGGCACAGTCTGGGTGCCCAGTGGTATCTCATTGTGGGTTTGAAGTGCATTGTCCTAAAGACTCATGAAGTTGAGTACTTTCATTTATTTATTGGCCATTTGGATATACTCTAGTCTGCTTAAATTCTGCCCATTAAAAAACATTAGGTTGTCTTTTGATTTACGAAATTACTTATTCTAGAGATGAGTCTTTTGTTGGTTATAGCATTTCTAACATCTCCCACGCTGTGGCATGCCTTCTTGTCATGTTTCTAACAGAAGGTTTAAGTGCAGAGACACTTGAGAAAGGTGTGACTGAATAGGACATGGCGGGGAAAGGGAAGGAAGTGGGGAGCAGAGAGAGGGTTATCAGGCAGGTTAACAGCCAAATCCGGAAGGAAGAGTGGAGCAAAGACCCATTGGAGGTTATTCCTATACACAAGGGAGACAGGATGGTGACTCGGTGAGGCCCCAGGATGGTGGTAATAGAAATGGAGAAAATAGGTGATTCCAAAGGTATGAAGGACTTGTTGATAGGCTGTATATGAGATAAGGCATAGGGAAGAATCCACGTTTCTTCTTTGGGCAACAGGTCTGATGGGGAAAATTGGAAGAGGAGGTTAGTGCAGAATAGGAATTCCGTTTTAGATGCATGGAGTCCAAATTGACTAATGATCACAGCTCTTTTCCACCTTATTCTTGTTTTCACAGGAATGCTCCAAAATGGGAAGAAATTTGATTCATCCAGAGACAGAAACAAACCTTTCAAGTTCAGAATTGGCAAACAGGAAGTCATCAAGGGTTTTGAAGAGGGTGCAGCCCAGGTAGGATGAAGATCCTCCTTAGGGGAGATTTGAGGAGTTGGGATCTGAGCTCAACACTGCCCCACCCTATCACAGACCACTACCTCACACCGTCTAGTTTCAGTCCTGGCTTTGACCCCACCCTTTTTGTTGCCAGCATGACTCTTGTGTCACTGGAGGCTCTTATATCTCAGACTCACCTTCTGGGTTTGAGCAGAACTAAACTAGCTGGGAGGCTTGTGAGCTACCAGCTGACCCTGACCAAGGCAGCAGAAGGGTTGGGGTAGGGTAGGCTAAGGTGGAGTTTAAAAAACACACAATTTCAGACTTGCAAAAATATTGCAGGAATAGTAGAGTTCCCATATGTTCTTTACCCAGCTTCCCCAAATGCTAACACTTTACATATCATAATACAACTAGAGGCCCGATGCACAAAATCTGTGGAGTAGGCCTTCGTTCCCCTGGCTGCTGGCACTGGCTTCCCTTAAACCCCAGCTTGGTCCGACCTAATCAGCATTTATGCTATTATTATTATAGGTGATAAAAATCAGGACCTTAACATTGATACACTATTAACTAATCATTCAAATTTTTGAGTCAAATATTCAGAATTTAAAAATCAGTTTATTCACATTTCACTAAGCCTCACTAATGCCAGGCCAGTCTTTTTATTTTTTATTTCATAGAGGAAGGGAGATGGAGAGAGAGAGAGAGATAGAAACATCAATTGGTTGGCTGCCTCCTGCACATCGCACACTGGGGAATGAGCCTACAACCTGGGCCTGTGCCCTGACTGGGAATTGAACCGTGACTTCCTAGTTCATAGATCGACGCTCATTCACTGAGCTACACTGGGCACCAGATGTATCTTGATGACTGCTGTGATGAGCCCTGTTCAAGCTCTGCTTCCTGGGTGTGTGAAGCCACCTGAGGCTCCACTGCAGTTTTTAGCCCTCCCCACCTTGCTGTGGCCCTGATCTCAAGTTTTATAACGAACTGCCTGCCACCTACTTGATTGTGTGCAGGTACATGTGCTTTCAACACCCTCTTTAGGAAGAGGGTGGGGAACAATTAATGAACAAATGGAAGTGTTTGGGCCATATACTACTTGATTACCAGCAGTTTGTTGGATGAATGAATCAGAGACCGCTTTGTGAAAGTTACTATCCTATTCTGAGGCAGAATCTGCATGTGTTACAACATACTGTAACACATAACATGTATGTGTGCCATGCATAAAATTCACCTCAGGTTTTCAGAGTTACCACGAGGATGGTTTGGGAAAATGCCATAGTTACCTTACTTTTTTCTTTTAAATCAAGCTGGGTCCTCTTTCTCCTCTCCCTACCTGCCCCCCATCCCTGCTAGATGAGCTTGGGGCAGAGGGCGAAGCTGACCTGCACCCCGGACGTGGCGTATGGAGTCACTGGCCACCCCGGTGTCATCCCTCCCAACGCCACCCTCATCTTTGACGTGGAGCTGCTCAACTTAGAGTGAAGGCAGGAAGGAACGTAAGGTGGCGGGAGACGGCTGCTGCTCACCCTCCGAGCTGCTCTGCCACTGGGACGGCTCCTCCTGCTTGGGGCTCTTGATCAGTGTGCTGACTGCGCCGCCCCACAACATTATCCATTCTCTCTGCCCACACTGCTCTCCGTGTGTTGCTCACTGTTCACGCGCATCTTTGCTTGAGGAAACTTCGGTTGCAGATCGAAACATTTCAGGTTGTACGTTTTGCATGTAATAGCCATTCTTGAGAACACAAAATTTCTTGTTTGCACAATCTACACTGCCTTACCTTCACTTAAGCCAGAAACACAAGGTGCTCAGACACGAAATGTACATGGCGTACACTGAGGGACTTGAGCCAGTTACCTTTGCTGTCACTTTCTCTCTTAGAAACTGTTGGCTGCTGACTTACAAACTGTCCTCTTTGGAAATGACGTGTAAAATAAAGGCTCTGTGCTTGACAAATCCTGTCCATCCTTATTGTAGAGAAGAAGTGCTTGAAGGACGACATAAGCCAGTCGCCCTTGGGAAAAATAGTGGAAAGGAGCCTTCCAAGTAGCCATGAGAGAGAATAAATATAATTAGTGTGGATACTGCACATGCTGAGCCTTGTTCTGTTTATTTTAAAATAAGTTGGTCACCAATCCTCTGAGCAGCCCTACAAAGTAGGTGTTATTTGCCACTCATCTCACAGGCTCTGTGGATTCCAGCACTTTGAGATCTTGAGATTTGTAGTTGTTTGGACTTAAAGGGATGAGCAACCTTCACCCAGATGGAAAAGAACATGTGCCTCTGAACAGATGAAGGTGTGGTAGGCCTGAGAGCCACACGCTCACTCACATAAAGTTACTTTTGAAAAGACTGATTCTGAGATTGTTTTCACATTTACTGCTTAGCTGCATCTAGATCTGTTCTTACATTGGGAATTACTACAGAGAAGAATGTATGTATCTGCATCGTTTCCACACATCCTGTTTAATTTAATCAGCATTCACTGTAACTCTCGGGAATTCTCACGTAGGTTTTAAATCAGCCCGCTTATTGGTGTGCTCGTCAATATGGGGCAATATGGTTGGGAGATTTTCCTTTTAGTTGGGATAGTTTTTAAACTTAGTGAGGAGCATTCTGTCAGCAACCTCTTAACTTGAGATTAAGACTAAGAGGAGCTGGGGACAGGTACTATTGGCTTCCTCCAGACTCATGTCATATATATGATATGGGGGTGGGGGACGGTTACTCCATCTACCTTTTGTCTCCAGGAAGACAAAAGAGCTGTAGCCCTCTGCCGAGGACTGAGGGGTTAAAAGCAGCAGCTTTTAAGATGGGGGGAATGAAATGAGAAGAGAGCTGCATTGCTTTTAACCACCCAGTCCCTGGGCTCCCTTCTCCTGTGGAACGAGGCCAGCTAGAGGGGCTGCATTCACTCCTTTCTGGGTGTTTTCTTCAGAATGTCTTAGCTTCCAGCTTTCCTTGACACAATGTCTATGACAATTTCTGAGAATTCAGCCTGTTTTCTGCTGTGACACCAATAGGATAACTAAAATGGCACCATGGACCACTGGAGGGGACCATTACGGAGTCATATAAAACAGCAGTCACCAACCGGTGGTCCGTGGACCACTGGTGGCCCGCGAGGCCCGAAAGGTTGGCGACCGCTGACATAAAGGATCTGTCTGGAGTGTGTCCTAGTATAGCACAGGTGGTAAAAGCAGACACTAAGAACCCGCACAAACATAAACAACTACATATACCTACTGGCTAGCACCTGGAAAGGACGTGCCAGGCTTCACAGGCCCTGTTCTATTGACGCTCTTAAAAGATGATGCAGAGAATCAGGACACAGTATGCTCACAAGTTTGGACATTGTCCTGAGAGAGCCACTGAAAGCTGTTAAGCAGGAGAGTGACAATGAGCTGTCATATCAGTCATTTTCAAACTTCTGGTTAACACATCCTCGAGTCATACAACATCTTTCTCAGAAACGAGAAATTTAACCGCGAAGAATGTAAAGCAGCTCTGACAGACATGTGTGTACATACATGTGCACGGACACAATCATTCCTTGCAACCATAAAAGCAGTTTGAAAAACAGCCTTCGATGCCTAGTACAGAGGATGAATTATAACTGAATCCTCAGCGCCTTAGCATACACAGACCTGGCACTGAGCAGGTCCTCAATATTTGTCCACTAAAATAAAGTTCTTATATCTTAACTGGGACAGGACACAAAATTGCCAAACAGTTACAGAGAATTTAGCTAACATATATGAATCCATATAATGGACTAGCCACATTTGTCAATAGGAATTTCCCCTTGTTGTTAATTTCAAACAACTACACTATTGGCAAGCCAGTCTGCCACTTAGACACATCATACTGTAAGTCTAATTTGTTTTCCCCTTACAGCAATGTCTTTTAGAAAATTAGTCTTAAAGTTGTAAATACCTAAAGGCACATCATGAATCACAATAATCGATATGGAATTCACAAAAGCATTCATAAGAAAATTACAGCCTGTGGCTCCTTTGTCATACGCCTACCCTTAGAAATGACTCTCACAGTGCTTTCAAAAAACACTCAGACATAAGTAAAGAAGACAATTATTTCCTCATTTTCAATAGTAGGCTTTGAGAAGATAGTACAAAAGGATATAATAGGTTGTTTTCTTAAAGTAATGATAGATTTCAAAGCTAAGTGCATTTAAAAGTAGAATAGATGCTGTTTGTCCAGTTAAATGACTTAGTCCTTGTACCCTTCAAGTTGGTTTTGGGTTATAGTTTTATATTTATATATATACAATTAGCCCATGTTTTCCCATTTGGTTTATGCCTAAACTATAAATAGAAAATTACAGCTATCTCCTCCAGGCTGCCAGACTATGATGAATGTGGTAATAACCATACTATTTCTATGCCATGAGAACTCATGATTATAAGAATAATCATCACATATTTTTGTATAGCAAAAATATAAAGTCCAATATATACACAGATGCTTATTACCGTAACTAAACAGAAAGACTACATTAATACAATCTCACATATGAAACAACAACACTACCCAAGCTGCTTGCTCTCAATTATCTAACAATGTGCTGTTGTTTGACCATTTCTAGAATAGACCTCTGTTCTAAACACAAGGGTACCCATATCAACAAAGGTCTTTGGTTAATTATAAAGTATTATTCAAATGTACTGGCATGGTTAATATCTGGTTGATGTTACAGCAACTTCTTCATGTAAGCATTTTATTCATTCAACCGACATGATGAGCTTTGATTTCCCTATCTGCAAAATGGAGATACTACCTACACTGTGTAGTATTATGAAGTTATTATGGCTACTAATTATAAAGATTTCATTATTAATAGCCATTCAATAAATGAAGACCCTCTCACAAGTTCCCTGATGGCTAAGCTCTGGATTGCACACTGGAGGCATTAAGAATACAAAAAGATCTCTGCTCAAGAAGCTCAGTCCCTTCTACCACAGCATTCTTGAGATGGTTCAACTGCAATTCCCCCTAACCCACACCCCAGTATCAAACAGGAGGGGAAAATTCAAGAGAAAACACTGACATGTTTTATAAAAAGCTCCACGTTTACTAACAATATATCAAAGTTTCAAGCACGTCATTAACCTCAAGAAACTGCAATAATCAATATTAATTAAAAACTGAAAAAAGGGTAGAGTGGTGATTCATGGGTTTTTCAGTCCAAAATAAAAATGCAGAAAACGTTTACTTTGGTGGATCCGTATTGATGCCATATTTTTCCTTGAGAAGTTTCAACTGTTCTTCCTTCTTCTTTGTGTCCATCTTCTGAAATGCCTGAAAATGTGATAAGTGCCAAAGTTAACAGTTACCAATCTATGGTCCAATGAATTCCACTAATAGCACCAGCCAGAGAGGAGCTCAGAGTACCCATCTCCCCTAACGGTGCAGTTCTGCAGGAACTCCTACATGGGCTCCCCCAGGAGAGAACTGTGCTATACTCACCCTGTTGGCATTATAGTACAAAACCACGAGGTATCTGTTACAAACGTTGAATCCGGACAGGTGATCACACGCGTTCTTGGCATCAAAGATGTCCTCATAGACCACATAGGCTGTTCCTCTAGTTTCGGGTGTGTTCCCCCTGCAGAGTTGAATCAGACTTAATTAAACAAATAGCCACCTGAAAACCATTAGAGGAAATAAACCTTATGGAAGGGTATGCTGGGTAATCCTGTAATTTCTTGAATTAGGTAATTTTTGTTTTTAAGTGAAATAGCTATAGGCTAAACTTACTGTTATATCAAGAATGCTAATATAGCTGCCTAATCAGTAACAGCAAAAAACTAGTTTGAAACTTCGTCATAATCTTCACGTTCTAGTCTTTCCTACTTCTCATACTAAGAATCACTTTTCAGTCTTACACTGGAAAGTATGGTATTGAGGAGTGATGGCTCCTATTAGTCAGCAATGTCTCAATGGGAGTTTTTCTTTTAAAAAAAAATATTTATTTTAATTTAAAGAGCAGATCAGGGAAAGGGTTCCCTATACTTTTAAATCTTGCACAGAAAGCTGTAGTTGGGGAAAAAAATCATTTTTCTCAGTTACTTTTATGTCCATCTACTCAGTTTATTCAGAAATTCTGCAGTCAGTAAAAGAGACAGTGAAGATCGTTGGAAAAAATTGGAGTTAATGCATATAATAGCAGCAAAGTTTTTGACTTTACAAATAGCAGGTGTGCAATAAATGTTAGTTCCTTCTTCCCTTCCAGACCCTTCAAACTATTCATGCTCTAGTTGGCTCTCACTGAGCTGGATCATAAGGACCTCAGTAGGTAGTTCCCTTTGTAAACAAACAAACAAAACAAAACAAAAAGAATCTCATTTCCCTGACTTCAATTAGCCTCAGAGGCTCTAGGCCCCCTTTGTCAGCTATAATTCCAAGATTATAGCTTATGCAATCATTTTATTTAAGTGACATTTCAAAAGTTTCAGTCAACTCACACTCTGATTTGACGAATAGGTCCGTATTTCCCAAATATATCATACATTTCTTCAGCTGTGATTTTGTAAGGCAAATTTCTTATATACAAAATCCGATTTACTTCAGGTGGAAGTCGAATCTAAAATGAGAAATACATATTGTCAAATTAGGAGAAAGAATGCTACTGTTCTTAAAAATTCTCATAATGAACAAGAAAATCTCATAATAAAAAATAGTAAACAAACAAACAAACAAAAAAACCCAAGACTAAAAGTTATAATCTGCTCTACTGAAAATGGCATGCTCTTTGGAAAACCAACTGGGCACTGATTCCAGGGAAGACTATCAATAGGAATAAGGGACTACTACAAAACCCAGGCTTCCAGTCAATACATTTATCATTTATATTTGATAGCCAACACAACTGGTTTGCCTCACATCTTACCACCACCACCCCCTCTAATATCTGAGCCGGGCTGTGTATTCTCTTCCCTGAGAGATGACCTTGGCTCTTGCTTACTGGAAAAAAGATATGACCAAATGGTACCAAACCTGCCAATCTGCATCCATCCACACGAACCCACTTTCCCTCTCAGTATTAGGTCAACCCCTCATCTACTCCAACCCCTCCTGAACTTAACCCATCTTTTCCGTTTCTCCCACTTACTAGATCACCATCCACACTGGCATACAAAAATACACCTTATATCACACGCCTTAAAAAGGATAAGCCAGCTACCACCTAACGGATCTTCCCCCTGTCTACATGAAAACTTGTGGAAAGAACTGTCTCCTCTTTCTTAAACTCCCATCCTCCCTTTCACTCCACCACTACTGTTTTCATCCACTGAAATGAAAAGCATCCAAGTCACCAAAAGTCTCCCCATCACCATGTCCAATCATCCGTCCTCATCTTACCATACCTTTCAGCACCTTAGAAGTGAACATTTTTATTTTTTATTTTAGGGTTCCATAACGGCCCCCTCTCTAAGGTAAGGATGTAAGCAGCCGCGCTGCTGCATATCCAACACTTAAGACTAATGCCTTGCACCTGGTAGCTTTTCAATTAATGTAACTGATAAATTGTTTCCTATCTCGCAAGTCTGCTACATCGTAGGTGCTTCAAAATGTTGTTGAATCAAAACATGAAGGATCTGCCCCAGCCGGGTAGCTTAGTTTGTTACAAGATCATCCCAATAAGCCAAAGCAAGATTGTGGTTCCATCTCCGGTCAGGGCGCATACGATGACACATAAATAAGTCGAACAACAAGTCGATGTTTCTTTCTCTCCCGCACCCCAACCCTCTAAAAAAAAAAAAAAAATCAATGAAACAAAAAATTAAATGAAAAGGCCCATGAAGGATCCAAAGAGCTCCGGGATGAGAAGACTCTCAGGCTCCCGTCGCCTGGTGACCATTAAGTTATTTACTGGGGACTTATCTGTGTTATGGACGTTTAAGCCGAGAAGGTGCAGCCACCAAGGCTGTCGGGCTGACACTAGGACCAGAGACGGACGGAGAACTCTCAAAAGGGGTGAGGGCGGGGATGTGGCTCCAGGACCAGGCCGGGCTGAGCTCCCGCCGGCAGCCCGGTCCCTCCTGGCTCCCCCGGCCTGGGGACGGGGAAGGGCCAAGAATGCCCTGGCCCACCCGCCGCCAGTGCCCAGCGAAGCCCTTCCCCTCCCCGGCAGACATCCCCGTGACTTACGTTCGCTCTCTTGGCCGCTTGCATCGCCATCTTGGCGGGCTGATGAGGTTACCGCGGCAGACACTAGAATTCCTTCAGCTCAACACGGCCTCCGCCGCCGGACATCAACACCGCGGCTCCGCCGGAAGCTGTGACGCCGCGCAGGAACGCTACGTCTCACGTGCGGACGTGCTGACGCAGCACCCGTCCCGAAAAGACCCCGGGGCGCAACGAGCTGGAGTCCGCCGGGAGGCCGGAAGGTGGAGCCCGCGGCGCTTCCGGGTTCCGGCGGAAAGGAGGGGCGGAGTTCCTGTCAGGGTGGCCCTGAGTGGAGGAAGTTGCCGGAAGGGGCGGGGCCTGAGGAGAGGGACTAGAGCTGGGGCTGTTCGCAGGTGCATTCCGGGAGGGGGCGGGCCTGGCGGAAGGACCCGGCTGCTGGGCGCGGGGTTGTGTGCGGTGCCCCGGGCCCCTGGCAGTGCACGGGGTTCTGTCTTCGCATTTGGAACCCTGGCGCAGTCCCTGGAGGTTGGGCGTCTGCTGGCCCGGCCTCTCCTCTAATCCCCGCTCGACGCTTGCCCGGTCTCCCATTCCACCTCTCACCTCCGCCCGCTCCGCCCCTTCCATCTCCCACCTCCTCCCCGCCCCGCCCCGCCCCGCCCCGCCCCTCCTATCCCTTCCACCTCCTCTCCTCCCCGCCCATCCCACCTCTCCCACCTCCTCCCCGCCCCGCCCCTTCTATCTCCCACCTCCTCCCCGCCCATTTCACCTCTTTTACCTCCTCCCCGCCCCACTCATCCTATCCCTTCCACCTCCTCCCCGCCCCTCCCATGCCATCTCCCCACCTCCTTCCCGCCCATCCTATCTCCCCCTCCTCCACGCTCATCCCATCTCCCCTCCTCCCCGCCCCGCCCATCCCTTCTCCCGCCTCGTCCCGCCCTGTTGGCCTCCGTCCACGTGCACACGCCAAGCACAGAGAGCGGCTTCCCTTCACTCTTTATTTCCTTGGACCAGCTTTACACAGATCAGTCGACGAGGCCGGGGAAGGCCCAGTGGGTTACAGGTGGGCGTGGAGTAGCAGCCCGTCTCTGGCCTGCGTTCAGAGAATTTTCTCCCGGTTTGCTCTGGGAAGGTCTGAGGCACCCTTTTCCTCGAGTGCCCCCTTCTCCTTCACTGGGGCATCTCCAGGACGATTTTGCCCATGTGCTTATTACTCTCCATGTACTTGTGGGCCTCTTGGATTTCAGCCAGAGGGTAGATTCTGTCCAGAACCGGCTGTATACGTTGGGGGCCCTCCATGGAGAAGTGGGGCACAATTTGCTCCGTAAAAGCCTTCACCATCATTTGCTTGTACTAAGATACAGAAGAGACCATCAGCCTGGACAGAGCCTGACCTTGCTACCCCCCCCCATCCTGCTTAGCCTTTGTGGTCTCTCTGAAGAGTGTACCCATTTGCAAAAGCACACAGGGGTACCTAACCCCTCCATTACCAGCATGTATGTGCACGCCCCCAAATGTGTAACCAGGTAAGGGCTGCAGCCTGGAGTAAAATATAAGTGTCACTGACAGCCTAAGGATTTTAAAATAAAGATTTCAAGTTGGAGGCAGCCAGAGACGGGTCTTACATAGACTCAGCTCACAGGGGATGTGTTTCAGCTCTGCTCCTCCCGTTGTGTGAAACCTTATGCTGGGAAATACTGGGCTAAGGTGGAGAGTTCCTTACCTGAGAGGCTTTCTGAGAACAGTTCTGCCTTGCAAAACAGTCTTGGAACTATTAAAAGTATTTCCAAATATGGTCCATGCTTTGTTAAGAGAGTCTACTCAGGTCTCATCTGTGAAGTGTTTTCTATTCTAAGATGCTGAGGCTTCTGTTGACCAATGTTAATTAGTTCTGTGAAATCGGGTTAACTGTTTACCCACAGAGGGGCAGGTTTCTCCATGGGCTCCCTAACTTAAGATGTGCCAAATCTCCCCTTCTCCGGGTGAGGAAAATGAGTCGCATTGCTCTGCGTAACAGTTTTCACTCATTACTCACCTTTTTGTCCCTAGATCTCAGCAGACTGGCGACCAGAGTTCCTCGCTTAAAAAGCAGTTTCGACAACAGAGGCCCATTGACGTCGGCTCCCCCCATCAGACCGTAGAGAACCCAGCGGCCGTCAAGAGCCAGGCAGTTGACATTTTTCTCCCAGTAGGATCCTCCTATGCAGTCTAAAATAAGGTTGACTCCAGCACCTTCCGCAGGAAACACAATTTATGCTAGTCAGACACAGAAAGCTTGATGCAAAATAATATTCCCAGAGTACATTTGTGGATGTGTGGCTATAAATAAACACTGGCACAAGTGGTAAATCTATACATTGGAACTAGAAACACTGCTTATAGAAACGTTTGAATAGAGTTTAGATAGCTGAACTCTGCCATCTGTGCTTGAAATAGTTCATCTCTTATGATCTGTAGCCACAGCAAGAGAGAAATGGGGCAACCCCATGCTCTGGTATCTTCCCCAACCCCCACATAAGTAGAAAACCCACTGGCACCTGGGCATGAGTGAGAACAGAACCGGAGATGCCCACTCCAGCCTATAGGGCAGGCTGGTAGTACACACCTGGGTTAAGAAGCCTCTGCACTGGGTTGTTTGAATTGTAGCCTTGGTGTCAACTCTCCTTTTTGACTCATGGAAAGGGAAGTGCCAAAAATATTCAGATTTGGCTTTGGAACACAGAGCTCATCCACTTAGCCTTCGAAATACTACCTCCTATGACCATCTCCCAACTGGTCTCTGCCCCATGTCTCCTCTCAGTGCCCTGTGAACTGGCTGGTTGGGAATAAGAAGTCCTGCGTCATTTTGGGCCAACTCTGCGTGACTATCCAGTTTCTAAAATGGGTATGAATCAGATCACAAGAATACACATGCAAACTGTCTTCATCCTAAATATCGCCTGACTGTCTTCAAAGGTCCAACACCAGAGTCCCAGAACTTGGCCGGGGCAGCTGTTGTGCATTTAGCAGGGGCCAGACAGATCCAGAGCACTGGCCTGGAGGCTGGCCAGGATTTCCTGTAATCGCTCTGATACTCCTGCTGAGCTGCAGAGGCTGTGGTTTACCTTTGGTGAATTTCATTGCTGCTTCGGAAAAGTCCTCTTCTTTGTAGTTAAATCCGGCAGCTGCTCCGAGTTTTTCTGCCATTTGAAGCTTGTCCTGGGCGCCAACGGTGACCAGGGGTATGGCTCCCGCTATCCGGGCGAGCTGGATGGCCGCTGTGCCCACCCCGCTTGCTCCTGCGTGGATTAGCACAGACTCTCCGGCCTGAACTTGTCCTGTGACAGGAAGTACAGAAACCATTCTCGTTACTTTGCAACTGCTACACGGTGTCCACACGGGCATCCTCTACCACGGCCACCGGGCCCGGGGACAACTAAATGCCAGATGTCTTGCTTTCTTTAGAGAACATATTTTTAAAAAAATATATATTTTATTGATTTTTTACAGAGAGGAAGGGAGAGGGACAGAGAGCTAGAAACATCGATGAGAGAATCATCGATCAGCTGCCTCTTGCACACGCCCTAGTGGGGATGTGCCCACAACTAAGGTACATGCCCTTGACTGGAATCGAACCTGGGACCCTTCAGTCTGCAGGCCGATGCTCTATCCACTGAGCCAAACCGGTTTTGGCTAGAAAACATATTGATAGTTCTTTTTTTCTTATTGCCTCTCGTCTAAGTGGAAAACACCCTTTTGCAAGCTATTAATATTAGCAGCCCCATCAGTAATTTGTTTTACCTGAAATAACATCAAAACACCTATCTCTGACCTATACCCGAATGAGTAAGAATAACCACCATTCCCACTGTCACCTCCAGACGCTGAAACTGGCCTCCAGCTGATCTCACTAATCCAGGCATACACACCAGCCACCAGGCTCCTCCTAAAATGGAGTTCTCAATGCCACTTTGTCCCCAGAACGTAACGTGGCTCTCAATGGACTTTTGTATCAAGTCCATTCAGCCTGCAATTCAAAGCCACCACAGTTTAGTCCCAGCCTCGTTTTTCACAAGTGGTAATTGTCACCCTTCATGTCCGAGCAGAGCAGCCCATCTCTTTTCTTTTTTTTTTTCTTTTTCTTTTTTTTAATATATTTTATTGATTTTGTACAGAGAGGAAGGGAGAGAGATGGAAAGCTAGAAACATCGATGAGAGTCATCGATCAGCTGCCTCTTGCACACCCCCTACTGGGGATATGCCCGCAACCAAGGTACATGCCCTTGACCGGAATCTCTTTTCTTTCTAAGAAAGTAAAAGACACTCTGTCTTGGGTCACTGCGGCTGTCTTCTGTCCATCCCAACTCTAGCCACCCTTCCCTTCCAGAAAGCCATCCCTGACCACCTTTGCCCACACCAACTTTTCCCATCTCAAGCTTTGTCGTTAGAGACGCTCTGTCTCTTGTGAGACCCTGAACTCTATGGTTGTCTGCAGAGACCCTGAACTCTATGGTTGTCTAATTCTGCACTCATTCTGTCTTCCTAGGTAGACTGAGCTCCCTAAAGGTCTTGGGCTCCCTCACGTGACCTTTGGCTGGCCTGATTGGGACTGGGAGGAATAAAAGTTGACTGATGGCTCCTTCTGCTGCACGAGGGCTCCCAGAGAGAAGCTCAGCATGACTTTGAGAAGCTGGGGTGACTGGTGGCCAACAATGTGAAGACTCGCACATCCAGTGCTATTCAGGTCTTCTCTCTGATAACTGTGATTTTCAGCCTCAACATCAAGCCACTGCTAACATGGTATGAGGACCTGACCTTACAGGTGATTCAGTAGGGTGAGATGCTGGGTTTGGGTGTGGCTCAGTGGCCAGGACAGGACAGAGCTACCCTGGAGGACTACTGGGTTTTGAGGTGGCCATGTCAGGAAGGGATTGAACACATCTGTGTGGAGTGAGCATGGAGCAGGGGTGGGGTGGGAAGCTCCTCACCCACGAGGTGTAACAGCTGGAAGGCGGTGAGCCAGGCCTCTGGGATGGCTGCAGCCTGTGGCAGAGTCAGTCCTGCTGGGATGGGCATGAGGAACCCTTCAGGGACCGTGACATATTGAGCCTGACCCCCGCCAGGCATCAGAGCCATAGCTGCGTCCCCGATCTTCCAGTGCCTCTGGCAGCCAGGCCCCAGCTCTGCCACGTGTCCAGATGCCTCAATTCCCAAAATATCGCTTGCTCCTGGGGGTGGTGCATATTGTCCTTGTCTCTGCAGAGAGAAAATGACACTAAGTGGTAAGCATGATCAGAAATCTGTGTCATCATCCTTGCCCTCTTCCAATAGCCACCCCCCTTTTTTTCCGATAGAAGATTCAGGATAAAGTCAGGTGGTTTTTTTTTTAATGTAGGAAAAAAGAGAGGAGAGATAATTTGTTTCATAATTTGTTTCAATAAGAGATGGTAGGTCACATAATCAGTGGATGTCACATTAGTAAGATCCTTAGCTTTTTCTCTCATCTAAATCCTGTTTTACAAATGGAGAAACCGAGGCCTAGGCAGGGAAATGCCATGTCTAAATTTGCGAAGTAAATGTAGTAGCAGGACCAGGAACAAAACCATAACACCAAGTGACAGTTCTCGTATATCAAGTGCCAGGACTCAGAAGGCTCGAACCAGGGCTACGGACCTGAGGGACTGAACAAGGAGTGTGCATCAGAACCATCCGAGGAGCTTTTTCAAAGTACACATGCCTGGGTCCCAGTCACGTTGATTTTGGAAAAATGCCCTGGTGATTTTGCTGTCCATTTCTCAAATACCCCTAACCACCCATCCAGCTGGTCCAGTTTAGCTCTCAGACAGCAGACAGACAGAAATTCTGAGTGCTGCTCCAGGACCCTCAAAACGGACCTCGATTTTAATCACAGCTCCGGGATGGTTAGTGTTGTGGTCTTGGATAATGAACCTCTCTGACCCTCATTTCTTTACATTTCAATACAGATGGTAAGAAAATGAATAGAGCATGGCCTACCAGACACCCCTGCTCAACAAACTGTGAACCCCTTCTCCTCTGGAAGCCTGAGCAGACGACGGGTTAACGCGGGGTGAATTCGGCTTTGCTAACACCGTATCCCTGCACTTTGTGTAAACAGAGGAGATTGTATGGCACCCCAGGACTCGGCACCCCAGCATAACCTCACCATGAGTGTTCCTGGCAGTGCCCCAGGTTGCTCCTTATCGGTCTGAATGTTTATGGAAGGCCCCGGAGTCCCGCCCTGGCCCCTGAGTACCTGGAGAATGTCGGCCCGGTTCAGGGCACTGGCTGCCACCTTCAGGAGCACTTCTCCCTCTCCCGGGATGGGCCTGGGCACCTCCTTCAGGTAGAGGTTTTCTGGTCCTCCCGGCTGGTCAAAGTGCACGGCTAGCATGTTTCCTGAGGACACAGAGCACAGCGAGGCAGGGAGCCTCGTGAGGGCCATCCGGAGTAGGGCAGACACCTTATTTGCTTTAACCGGGCCTTTTAGTTTTATTTCTTAGCTTTGACTTAAACTGGCCTCACCTAGTGCCCTGTCTCACGCACCAACCCAACCTCTCCTTTGCTGAATCTCTTTTTAAAAAAATATATTTTATTGATTTATTTTTTACAGAGAGGAAGAGAGGGATAGAGAGCTAGAAACATCGATGAGAGAGAATCATCGATCAGCTGCCTCATGCACACCCCCCACTGGGGATGTACCCGCAACCAATGTACATGCCCTTGACCGGAATCGAACCTGGGACCTTTCAGTCCGCAGGCCGACGTTCTATCCACTGAGCCAAACCGGTTTCGGCCTTTGCTGAATCTTTAAGTCACCAGAACAGTGACGTTCTGCTTAACAAGTAGGAGTCTTAGGACCCAGGTCTATGACTATTGAGACAGAGGGAAACATAACATCTTGGCCTCAGTTGTGTTTTAGCTTTGGACACAGGAAAATGGGACAATCCCACAAGACAAGACACTTTCAATAACATACAGAGCAACCCCAAGGCTGATACCGGGCCCAGATGCAATGATCAATACCCTCTACCCTAGCAGTGACCAAGCAGTGGATACGGGACCCAAGCTCCATTGGTCACCATGACTAAGGATTTTTGTCCTGTACAGGGTGGGGCAAAGGTAGGACTAGAGTTCATATGGAAAGTAACGCAATAATTAAATAGTGACACAAGAACACACTGTTTTACTTACTCACGGCTTACTTTTGCCCCACCTGTATAATCCACCCCCTGAAAGTCATGGGGAGTCAGGTCTTTGAGCATGAACTACGTGACTCCATGAATGGCACCATCTCCTTAATCAACCCTTACTTTCTTGGCTGCAAACCCTTGTTCGTGTCTTATTGGGCTTTGACGTGAGCAGGCAAATGGACCTCTTCAGTCTGATCATAGGAATGCAGCGCTCAAGCCCATGCAGTCCCCTGTGAGCCAGCCCCTGCCACTGGCATTCCTTTGCCAGGCCTCCTCCAGGTCTGCCCCCCATGCCAACCTGAGCCCTCCTTCCTCTGAGGCCCCTGCCAGTCCAGGCAGACGACACAGAGGACACGCTCTGGGACAGGATGGAGGAAGCAGCCATGGCCTTATGGGTGGATGCTCTGGAGCAGGGAGATACAGAAGCGCTCGAGGCAAATTCTACTCCCTATGAGTTGGAATCCCCACCCCAAGTGTCACTGGTGGGACTGCCCAGAAACCTTATTTTCTTTGATCTGTCTTGTCGCGAGTCGAAAAAGAATTAGTGACTATCGGGTCTAGTAATAATTAATGTCGTTTTAAACATTCGTTTAAAATCTTGCTTGGCGTTGACTTGTATTGACATAATCTTCAAACTCGTGGTATCTACAGAACATGTGAAGTGCAATTAACAAGTTTTGCTTGAAAAAGTTTGTGTTTGGTTTGTTTTTTGTTGCGAAACTAGGGCTAAGAAGATGGCGGATGAAGAGCATATTCGGCACTGCATGCTTTACGAGTTCCAATTAGGAAGAAAAGCAAGTGAGGCTGCAAAAAACATCTGTAGTGCTCTTGGTCAAGATTCAGTTAGCGCCAGAAAATGCCAGCGTTGGTTTGAGAAATTTCGCGAGGGAAATTTTTCGTTAGATGACAAGAGTGGTCGAGGCCGTGTGTCCAATTTTGATCAAGAAGCTCTTCAAGCTCTTTTGGTGCAAAATCCTCAAATTACCCAACAAGAGCTTGCGACAACTTTAAATTGTTCACAAAAAACAATTTCCAATCAATTGCGTGCACTTGGCAAAATCCAAAAGTTTGGAAAATGGGTTCCTCATGAGTTGACCGACAACAACCGTAATCAAAGAGTCACAATTTGCAGTTCGCTCCTCTCTCGTCAAAACCGTTTGCCATTTTTAGAGCAAATTGTTACCGGAGATGAAAAATGGGTGCTGGATGTTAATTTGAAAAGGCGGCCTCAATGGTTGGACAAAAATGAGGCTCCGCAGCCCACGCCAAAACCTGACTTGCATGCGAAAAAAGTGATGTTGTGTGTTTGGTGGAATTTTAAAGGAATTCTTCATTATGAACTTTTACCATCTAACCAAACCATTACAAGTGCAGTGTATAGTGCCCAATTGGAAAGGTTAGCCCAAGCTTTAAGAGAAAAAGAACCCGCGCTGATTAATCGGAAGGGCGTAATTCTTCACCACGATAACGCACGACCACATACTGCAAGAATCACTGCTGAAAAACTGCGCCAGTTGGAATGGGAAGTTCTCCCTCAACCTGCATATTCTCCTGTTATTGCTGCTTCCGATTACCATTTGTTTCGTTCTTTGCAAAACTTTCTTCTTGGAAAAAAATTTAATAATGAAGAATGCCTCAAAAATGCATTGACCGAATTTTTTGCATCAAAATCACAAGAATTTTACAACAGAGGGATTAAAATGCTTCCTGAGCGTTGGGCACAAGTAGTAGAAAACAACGGCAACTATATTGTTGATTAAATTTTGTTGTATTGTTTAAATAAATTCGATTTAAAAAGTATTAGAAAACGACATTAATTATTACTAGACCTAATACATCTTAAAAGACACCTCCATCTTAGATACTGAGTTTCTGAGTTACCAGAACTCATGTGACAAGCTGCGGTGTGGCAGTTAACTAGAAACAATCTAAATGCCTAGCAGCATATCTGGCCATTGAGCAAGGCACACCAGTTGTGATAACTCGCCCTGCCCCGGAGAATCTCTGCTGTATCCTCCCCTGCAGACACATCCTGCTGATACACAACCCTCCCCGCCTTGGAATGTCTCGGGCGAAAACTTCTCCCTACAACTTGTGTACATATATTGCGGCTGCAACAAATAAAATTTGAGGCTTGATCAGAACCCTGTCTTGCCTCCATTTCTCCTCGTCTCCTGTCCTCCCTCATTCCCTTCCAGGTGTCTCCTCGCTCCCACGTTGCTGTCCCGCTGGCCGGGGCACTGTCTGGCCTTTTATTTTTTAATTTTTAGCTTTGACTCAAACTGGTCCTACCTAGTTCCTGACTCACCACCCATCAGAACCAGATGCAGTGATCACATGCAGAGCAAACGCTTGCGAAATGGGACACAGCAACTCCAAGGCTGACATCTGGACCACATGTGATGATCAATTCCCCCAGCACTGGCCAATCAGTAGAGACCAGGACCCAAACTCCATCTGTCACCGTGACTAATGGGTTTCCTCCTGATCATCCCCTGGAAACCATCAGGGAGCCAGGTTTGAGCACGAACTCCCTGTGACTCTGGGCATGGTGCCATCTTCTTAATGAATCCTTCATTTCCTGGCTGCAAACTCCTGTTGTGTCTTCCTGGACTTTATGCACACAGGCAAACGGAGCCCTTCAGCAGCTGTGGCCAAGCTGCAGAGCTCCTGGTCCATCTCCATCAGAGAGGTCTGCCTCCCCCTCCGTCTTCCCCTCCTTCCTCTGAGGGCCCAGCTTATGCAAACAGACCCCACACAGAGGGCATAGGCTGAGACAGAGAATGAAGCAAGGATGGTCTTACCGGGCGAAAGTTGCAGAGCAGGACAACAACGAGGCAATTCCATTCCCTAGGAGTTGGACAAACACACTCCCTCCCCATCCCGCCCGCCGGTCACTGGCCTGGCACCCATGTGAGTTACCTGCTCAGAACTCTCGGAGGCTCCAGAGGGCACTGCTGGTTCTGTGATCTCTGTAGACCTCAGAGCTGAACCCGGAGCCTGGGACTGCTTGGCAGCGAACTGTTCACCTGGAGTCAGGGCAGCGGGGTAATGTGAAAGGGGTGGGGCAGACCGGGGCCAGCCCTCTCCCTCCCTTCCGTTTCCTCCTTCCCTCTTTAAAATGCAAAGCTGGTGACAGCAAATAGGGTTTCCTTTCCCTTGGAGTCTCTGGAAACTAGTCTTTCTCGGGGTTTGGCAGGAAATGCTGCTCCCTGCTCTCGCTGAAAGAAGAGAAAGCTTCACTCTCTCCAGGGAACTGGACCCCACGCAGGTCCATTTCCCAGGCTTTTAGCCCGTTTGTGCCATGGGTCTGGCATCCAGCCCTGCCTGTGGCCAGGCATCTGGAGTCTGGAGCAGGATGGGTAAGCAGTGTGGTGCTGAGAGAGGAGTCATCGGGGAAAAGGGAAAGTAAAAGCAGTTCTGGGGTCCTGATCACTTCTGCTCTCCCACTCTTTCCTGGGGGGTGGGGGGGAGGAAGTGCCCTGTCCCCCCCCCATGCTGCCTGAGGAGATGATTTGGCTGGTTAAAAGCTGTGCAGATAGACAACATTATTGACATTCTGGACTAGATAATTCTTTGTTGTGAAAGACTGCCCTGTGCATTGTGGGATGTTTAGCAGCATCCTTGGTCTCCATTCCTCCCTCTACCTCCCCCACCCCCACCCCCTCACTCCGTCCAGTCAAGAAACACGAAAAGCCTACAAACATTTCGGCAGGCATGGGGTGGTGGTGGTGGGAGAGGGGGTGGCAAAATTTGCTGCTAGTTAAGAACCACTGGTCATTTTGTGTGTGGTGGGTATACACAATAGGACAATGGGAGTACTTAAAATGTGAGACTATTAAAAAAAAAAAAGAAGAATATATAATTTTTGTGATGCCACATACTTTCTCAATTAACTCTTTAAGACTCAGCTCTCCCGGAGCCTTCCCTGATTCTATTAGGCAGGGGCCATTCATTTATTTGTTTACCAAATGTATTCATCACCTATTCCACATTGACAGCATCTCAGGTACTAGAGAAAGGAGAATGATTACCACACAATTCTTGCCTTCCAGGGGCTCACAGTCTAGGAAGACAAAGAGCTATAATGCAGTGATAAAGGTCTGCATAAAATACCCAGCGCAGGAGAGATGCCTCTGGGGGGTCTCCAATGGTTTTTAGGAATTTGCCAACTGGATGTGAAGAGGCAGGAACAGAAAAG